GATGGTGGTCAACGATGTACCAGACTGCGATACAATACCAGAGTCGGTCTCAACAGATCCGTCTGACTTGGTGGTAGTCCAGGTGGTGGTGTACTCAGTTTGCACTGGCTGTGGGAAAGTCGTGATGGTTGTTAAGGAGGTACCCGATTGCGAAACGATACCAGAGTCGGTCTCAACTGATCCGTCAGATTTCGTGGTAGTCCAGGTGGTAGTGTACTCAGTTTGCACTGGCTGTGGGATAGTCGTGATGGTGGTCAACGATGTACCAGACTGCGATACAATACCAGAGTCGGTCTCAATTGATCCGTCTGACTTGGTGGTAGTCCAAGTGGTAGTGTATTCCGTTTGCACTGGCTGTGGGAAAGTCGTGATGGTTGTTAAGGAGGTACCAGACTGCGATACAATACCAGAGTCGGTCTCAACTGATCCGTCTGACTTGGTGGTAGTCCAGGTGGTAGTGTACTCGGTGGTCAACGTAGAACTGGTTGGGAAGATAGAAGTGGTTGTATACCATGAGCCGCTGGTGTCGGTAGTAATGTCCACAACTCCTGTCTCAGTTATCGTTTGTCCACCACTGGTTGTTGTAATTGTAGTTGTGTATTCAGTAGGTTGCGCGCCAGGAATTGCTGGTAGCGATTTACAAACGCGACATTGACTTGGCAATCCTGGGTTAGGTACAGGACCATTATATTGAATTGATCCTAAGAGAGTTGAAGGCAAGCCAGCTCCACTGTCAGTCACAACTTGAAACTTGGAAGAGTCATACCCAGTACCAATGTTGAAATATTGCAGCAACAAACCTGCTCCTCTCAACGTCAAAATACCAGTAGCGGAATTGTACGACCATGCGCTTCCAGTCAACGAAAAAAGCGGAATTGTTAATCCAATTTTATTTGCAACCCCATTGACTTGACCGAAGTTACGCACGTTGAACGTTTGTGGCGTAGATATTGCCTGTGCAATCATGGAAGAAGCACCATCAGCCAAGTAAAAAGTTTGCCCCGTGGAAACCAGCAAGAGTGCATTTGAAATGTAAATGGAGGAATCTTTATCAGCAGTAATACAACCAGTACCAGCAATTGTTGTCGCTTGTTGATACACCTCGTTGATAAAACAAATCTGGCCATTGTTGGTAATGCTTCCCAAAGTTGTTCCTAAACTAACTGTACCTTCATTTCTTTGATTTTGGTAAAATTCAAGTAAACCAGTATTTGTCCAACTGGATGCGGTGATACTCATGCTACTGGGTAAAATTCCAGAAGCAGCCAAATACATTTCACCATTATTTTGAAATGATAAACCAACAAGGTTATAAGTTGACGATGTCAAGGAAGCAACTGAATTGAATGAAATAATACCGTTGTTGGTAATGGAGTTGAGCAATCCCAACAAAGTAACTTGCAATGAAAGTAATGGTGAAGTACTAGAAATGTAAAGACCGGCACCAGATTGCACATTTAAACTTGAAACAAACGCAGAAATGGCATTGTCAATGATAGACCAGTAAGCGCCTGAATGAATGTTAATATTACCGACATTCAAGCTTATGGTACCTCTGTCAACAGTGTTTTCCGTTATATCCAAACCCAGCGCTACAGCAACTAAGAAGCAGAATATCAAATGTAACTTTTTCAATATCAACATTGGTTGTCTTTTATGGGTGCAAAAAGAAATATGGAGAAAGAAATTTTGCAATGAAGGGAATTCAAATTAGACAGGGTATACAAGCTCTATATATATGTTGAAATGTCGAGTAGAGGGAATGGAGTGAAATATTACCAACTTTTTTTTAAGTAGAGATAGGCGTTAACCAAACTTGATGTAAGTGCTAGTGCTATACAATCTCCTATTTGAAGAGTAAGATTAATTTGATAACTCAAAACACGAAAAAACTGAAAATAGGAAAAAAAAAAGAAATTAAAGTCTCTCCAAACCCATTTTAAGGTTTAGCTGTACAATTACTAAAAAACTGAACTCCTCTCGTAGTTTATAGACTTTTATGTGCCCCAGATGATGAAAACTGGAGAGGGTAAAAAATAATTAAAAAAGAAAATTGAATAGAACAAACACAAATGTGAAAAGAGGGTTATTTTAGTTTTTTGGAGTCTTCCACAAACTCAATTTATTTTCTTGGTCACATAACCCTTTTCCTTCTCTTAAGTCCGTCATGTAAAACCATTTCCTGACATTGTTTGATGAAAAACACTTGAGAAAGTGACTCTGTAGCCGTATGTTTATTGAAAGCTTTTGCACGTCTTTTGGAGTGTAACCGTTGCATCTGAAACCTCTACACTACCTTTGGTATAACCCTTGCATTGTAAATTTTTTAAAAGCATGACACAACACTTTCGCAAAGAGTGTGAGGCAACTCAAAGATTGGCGCTTATGTTTTCCTAGTGTAGAGTTAATTTTGTTTTTCTGACAACATTTGTATTAGTGGTAAAGTAGTGAAGTCTACATACTTCGAAATTGGGGCAAGGGGGTTTAAGCAAACAGCAAAGTTTAATGCCAAACCTTTAATCTCTATAGCCCTACAAAATCAAGACAATTTTATATACACTTGGCCTGTTAAAATCCTTTCCTTCATAAAGTGAAAGAAGCTATTATGAAAAGTTTATTGACAAAAATGCTAAACAATAACAAAACATTTTAAAACAATGAAAACCGTGAAAACACGGCATTGTTCAAAGTTTTACGAACTTTTAACTAATTGTACATCTTTCGTAACGCAATTGATTGTAAGGCGTTGTGGGTTTTTGTCATAAACGTGCTTGAAAATCATTCGCATGAATGGCTACAGACAATAATTTATTTTTTCAAAATTTGTTTTTGTTTTTGTCGGAGAAAGACTGCAGAATACTCATAACCATGGTCTTTCTTCTTTAGCACAGGTTGCACCAGATTAGATCCAAAATATCATAACCATTGTAATTCATTTACGAACAGGGTTAAAAAAAAGAGCAAAAAAAAAATGAAACTTTATTAGTTTATAGCTAGTCCCTCACAAGGCCAACAGAAAAAGTAGCAAAGATAATTTGACAACGTGACGTCAAGGTTGCAAAATGTTTGACGACAAGTCTCTTGCATTGACTTGCTCCAGTTCAACAGTAGAATCGAGCTTATTACCAAAGCAGGTTATTTACTAAATAGTTTTAATTTTGGCTATTATTACCTAAATGTGAAATTTGTTGTCTATTTGTTATTCCAAAAATCTTCTTTTTGTAGTGAGGGGGTTGAAATAATAATAATATTTCAAACCCTCTTGTAATGGAAACAAAAAACGAAAACAAAAACTCCCGTTATTGGTTCTCCAATATCATATTTCACCTCTAATTATCATCATATGATGCTTGTGGAAACATTTCTACTTGTTTTTTTAAACTTTGGACGAAAAGGTGACTTCGAATACCCGTTTGGGTAAAAGAGATATAACCGCTATGCGTTTGTGTTTCAATATTCTCTTTTCCACTGCATTAACTGGGAGTAACAATAATATGCCTATTGTCTTAAATTGTTACAATTTTTAACGTCACAATTAAAGCACAGTATAATAATAGCTGATGCCTAACCTATCTAATAGTAATTTCTGTTAAGAACAGACATCAAAAGGATTTGTCGTTTCTATCTCAGGAAATGTTTCAATGAAGTTAAATTGATGACTGAACAATAAAGTATTGTTCTGCTGATGAAAGCTTATCAAAGTTAAGCTTTTATATATATAAACTGTAAAACCGTATACTAAAAACTAAAAACAAAAAGCAAAAATGAAAATGGGAAGTCAAAAAGAAAGTTTTCAACGGGGTTTCTGTAACCCTTACAGCTTTTTACCTAAACGAGTTTTTGTTTCTCTCTTGTTCATGTAATCATTAATTCTTTGTCCCAGGGTTTAGCAAAGTATAAAGTTAAAATAACCATGGTATAATTTTTTTACCAATAGAGCACAAATCGACTTACTACTACTGGCTTTATTCAACTGTAGTTTCAGAATTATTTTTATGAATGAAAAGGGGGAAAAGAAAACTTATGATGGTGACAACACGTACAACATATAATGCATCAGACTGTTGAATCTAAGAAGGAGTAAAATATTGTTTCTGTTTGTAATTTTAGTACTTTTGCAATGTTTTCTCTTCAATGAGTGTGTGTCATATAGTTGATTGTTTTGAAAAAATAAAATGCATTTGGACTACATCTACTTGATTATTGTGTGTGTTTCTTTGTTTCTGTTATCAAACGTTTGCATGGAAAAGAGTAGTGCACATAACGAAAACGCGTAACTGCGCCAAACTTTATCTCCATCTTACACATTTGGAATGTGTTTTCTTTAGAAGAGTAGAGTAAAGAGATGACTAACCCACAAATCTACAATAGTCGATAACAGAACATTTAAAAGACACAGTAGAGCGAAACCAAGTTGCACAAATATGCAATGGGGTTCTTGACCCCCTTCTACATATAAACACTCTTTGAATGTAAGGCGACTTCCTTGCGTCATCTTCTTTGTTAGAATTCTAGATGTATATCGACCTGTTCAGAATTTGTATACTAACCTGCTTACCGAAGTTTAGCCGATTATGTATCACGAATACGTCAACATTCTATACAGTTGATCATCTAAATACATATAATGGGACTAAAAATTACCAGGAAAAAAAAAAGGAGTGAACTGCAAAACTACCGCTTAATTCCGGACAATAAGTAACCTTTGAATAGAACAAATATGCAGCTTACAGCCCTGTAAAGAAAACCCCGAGCTCGCGTGTACTCGCTCGCTCTCGCATGTTGGTGTTGATCACGTCATTCCACAAAACAAAGTTGCAGAACAAGGAGAAGAGGAAGAGAGTAAGAAAAATAGAAACCTCTTTTTTAATAAAAGTTTTACTAAAACCTAAGGGATGACGAGATCCAGGTATTGCTCAATGCAGCTACTAAGTTGTACCTTAAGCTGGCTTCTACTGTAGTGTAGAGAACTGAATATACTATGATGTATATTCTCGTCAAGCCAGGGGCAAGATACTCAAGCCTCCATAAAATATTGTCAAAGTTCGTTGAAAAGAGGCTACCTCTACAAGCAAGAAACTCCTTACAACAATATACGGCCAAACGGCGTTTCTTTTAGGTAACTTCCAAAACCCAATAACTACAAGGTACTTTCAAACTCTAATTGCACTAAAGCCTTCCCCTCTTATTGTTTTGCGTTTTGGTTGCAGTTGGAGCCATTTCAGATTTTTGGTACAAATGCAACCTTTTCCCATTCATATTACAGGCTATTCTATGTAAAGTATAAGAGAGATAATCCCCCTTGAAGTGGGGTACCTCTCTTTGTCTTCCTTTAGGAAAAGGAAAAAGCATGTCTTCAATATCAAAAATGCCTATGTTGGTAAGTGTAAGGCAAGGAACTTCACATACATTTTTGGGTTGATTTGAGATCTAGAGGGCAGGATAATTTGTACTGCCCATACTACGGGCCCTTTCCCACGTTCTTCTTCTTGTAAGAGGTGCATTTTTTTGAACGTGCTTTTCGAACTAACTTTCTTGTTAACTCCATAAAAAACTTGTTTGTGATTTTTGAGGCTTTTCACTTGAAGGTAATTTACGAATAATAGCCCTTTTCGCATATACGTAACTCTTCTTCTTTTTCCCTAATCCCCCAAACTTCTCTCATCCTCATCCTTTCTTCTTTTGAGGTGTGGAGTTTGAAATTTCTTACATATGCAAGTGTAAAGCTTTACAAGACAGTAATATACAACAATTATTCATAAAATGAAAGAGTTCAAAAATATCCGACAGGCAGAGTTTACAAGAAATATTTAGCATCAAATAGTTATGAAAAAAATACAGCTTATGATACTCGACAACTTACAATTAACTCTGGTCTCGTGTCAGTATTATTTAATGGAGCTACAATTCCTGAACATGGCATTTTTACCACACCATACGACCAGTTACAGAGAAATACTGACATCTAATTTGTTACTGTTTGCTTTCGAGCGGTCCTGAAATACCTTTTAAAGTGTAATGAATTTTGATCAAGTTGCAGCAAAATGAGATAAAAAGTACCCACACTCCTATTGCTTTGTCCTTTCCTCTCTTTCAATGAAATCACTCGTTGTTTATGTGTTACTGTACGAATCTTGTTACAACAATATGCACCAAATGGTATTTTGAAGAGATTGTTTTCAAACTTATTATTATGCTCAGTATGCTGTTCCTGCCTAATGGTCTTTCTGAAATGTCCGACAAACTTTCTTTCTAATAGTGAGAGTGGAAACTCATCCCTAGTCTGAGTAAACCAATTTGTACTGCAAAATTTTGTAAAAGATAGTTTTAAACACACTATTAAACTATATTTGCAAAAACTAGAGACCGAAAATGATTTAAAAAAGTATAACCGAAAATTATGACAAAAATTAACACTCTAAAAATTCAAACTAATACTTGAAGTCTGAAATAGAAGGACCGAAAATTAAAAAAGCACTAGCAGTAATAATAATCACCGATTGCAAAAAACCATGGATGGTGACAAAAAATCAATCGGCAAAATGAAAGAAGAAACAATAGAAACGTTGACAAAAACCAACAGTTTCAAGAAGGAGCTGTTCTTCAGGAATATTTGTGTGTTAGTTCAGATACGCAACTGTCTCAGTCATGTACACTAAAAGACTACCACCATCACTAAGCACATCATGATACTGGTCACCGAAGATATCTTGGTAATAGAAGCGGAACCTTCGTATGTAGTAACACTTGAAGGAGAAGACTCACTTCCTTGTGATGAGAGTGCTGAATCGGTAACGCCTGTAGTTGAAGCTTGTCCTTCTCTCGTAGCACTAACATCTGCATCAGGACCTGAACCACCATTAGAACCATTACCTGAATCATTTGTATTGGAACCTGAATCTGAACCTGAACCTGCACCTGTGTTGGATCCAGAGTCATCGCCAAGACCATTATTAGAGCTCGAACCTGCACCTGCGTTGGATCCGGAATTTTCACCTTGGCCGGAGTTAGACCCATTGTCAGCTACAGAACCACCATTCGAACCATGATCACCACTAACAGAACCAGCTTCGATCAGTGACGATAAAACAGGCACGTTTCCACTACCGCTTGTATTGCTAGCTCCAGTAGTTCGACTTTCAACACCGGTTGGCTCAGATACATGACCAGTAGGTTTACCAGCTGTCTCAGTAACAGCTCCACTTGCGTTTCCACTTGGATCTGAAGCACCGCCAGTTGGGTTGCCAGTTGGGTTTCCACTTGGGTTTCCACTTGGTTCTGAGTTTCCACCAGTTGGGTTACCACTTGGGTTTCCAGTTGACTCTGAAGCACCCCCAGTTGGGTTTCCACTTGGGTTACCTGTTGTTTCTGAAGCACCGCCAGTTGGGTTACCACTTGGGTTACCAGATGACTCTGAAGCACCGCCAGTTGGGTTTACACTTGGGTTACCTGTTGGTTCTGAAGCACCGCCAGTAGGGTTACCTGTTGACTCTGAAGCACCCCCAGTTGGGTTACCACTTGGGTTACCTGTTGGTTCTGAGTTTCCACCAGTTGGGTTTCCACTTGGGTTTCCGGTTGACTCTGAAGCACCTCCAGTTGGGTTACCACTTGGGTTACCTGTTGGTTCTGAGTTTCCACCAGTAGGGTTTCCACTTGGGTTGCCAGTTGGTTCTGAAGCACCTCCAGTTGGGTTTCCACTTGGGTTACCTGTTGGTTCTGAAGCACCGCCAGTTGGGTTACCACTTGGGTTTCCTGTTGGTTCTGAGTTTCCACCAGTAGGGTTTCCACTTGGGTTACCTGTTGGTTCTGAAGCACCGCCAGTTGGGTTACCTGTTGACTCTGAAGCACCGCCAGTAGGGTTTCCACTTGGGTTACCTGTTGTTTCTGAAGCACCGCCAGTTGGGTTACCACTTGGGTTACCTGTTGGTTCTGAGTTTCCACCAGTAGGGTTACCACTTGGGTTTCCAGTTGACTCTGAAGCACCCCCAGTTGGGTTTCCACTTGGGTTGCCAGTTGGTTCTGAAGTACCTCCAGTTGGGTTACCACTTGGGTTACCTGTTGAATCCGAAGCACCGCCAGTAGGGTTTACACTTGGGTTACCTGTTGGTTCTGAAGCACCGCCAGTAGGGTTACCTGTTGACTCTGAAGCACCGCCAGTAGGGTTACCTGTTGACTCCGAAGCACCGCCAGTTGGGTTACCTGTTGACTCCGAAGCACCGCCAGTTGGGTTTCCACTTGGGTTACCTGTTGAATCCGAAGCACCGAAATCAGATGAGACCGATGGTTGGAACGTAGTGATTGTGGTCAATGAACTATCAGATCCAGATACAATTCCGGTTTCCGTTTCAACAGTTCCATCTGACTTTGTTACAGTCCATGTGGTCGTGACAGTTGTTGTTGTTGTTTCTGTCGTAGTAGTGGTCTGGGTAGTAGTCTGTGTCGAAGGACCTGTTGGTTCTGAAACACCGCCACTTGGGTTTCCGCTTGGGTTACCTGCTGAATCCGAAGCACCGAAATCAGATGAGACCGATGGTTGGAACGTAGTGAGTGTGCTCAATGAACTATCAGATTCAGATACAATTCCGGTTTCCGTTTCAACTGTACCGTCTGATTTTGTCACAAGCCAAGTTGTAGTGACTACTGTTGTTGACGTTGTAGTTGTTGTGTCTGTGATTGTTGTGGTAGATGGCTCAAATGTAGTGAGTGTGCTCAATGAACTATCAGATTCAGATACAATTCCGGTTTCCGTTTCAACTGTACCGTCTGATTTTGTCACAAGCCAAGTCGTAGTGACTACTGTTGTTAATGTGGTAGTTGTCGTACCTGTCGTGGTCGTGGTTGTTGGTTCAAATGTCGACAGGGTGTCAGGCTGGGCAACAGAGTTATCAGATTGGTTGATAGTTGACTTCATGGTTGTCTCAGGAGATGGCTCGACTGACAGGGTTGGTTCTGGTTGAGGATCAATTCCGGGAATTCCAGGTATTGCCTTACATGGCTTACATTCTGGAGGCACGCCCTTATTTGGTGGAGGAGCGTTGTATTGAACAGCACCCAAGTATATGCCTGGCAAACCTCTGCTTGTGTCAGTAACGATTTGGAATTTGGTATAGTCGTATCCAGTTCCAATTTCAAACCTTTGTGAGTACAACCCGACATACAATGTCAAAATACCCTTCTCGGCGTCGTAGGCGAATGGGCTCCTTCCTGGCACCGGCGAAGATAATGTAGCTGTCAATCCAACTTTGTTTGCAAGACCATTGGTTGTTCCGAAACCTCTTACATGGAAAGTCTGAGGATTGTTGATTGATCCAACGGCCATGATAGATGTTTCACCATTAGTCAAGTAAAATATTTGGCCTTCGGAAATTTGTAAATTGGTGTTCATAAAGTAAAACGAAGATTTACCTTGTGCAGTAACACAGCCAGTTCCCATCAAGCTTGCGAGTTGCTTATAGTTTTGATTGGTGAAACAAATTTGGCCATTATTGGTAGCTGTCATTCCATCCATGCCCAATAATGTGTAACTGTCACTTTTCATCAGCTGGTACACATGGATCAACCCATTGTTATGCCAGTCGGTACTCTTTATATCGCTCTCCATAGATCCTTCACCTGAAGCTGAAAAGAACAAGTCACCATTGTTTTCAAACTTGTTACCCATAATTCTGAACACGTATCCGGGAGCACCTTTGATTGCATTGAAGGAGACAACCCCATTGTTAATAAAACCATAGATCAGATCGAGCAAAGTAGCATACAAGACAACACGAGGCGTAACACTGGAAACGTAAAGACCACTGTTTGCTTCAACATTGATATTCCCATGAAAATTAGATGCTGCATTGTTGATGATCGACCAGATGGCACCAGAGTGAATGTTAATATCACCAAGACCAACATTTTGCACACCCCAATCAACTGTTGTACCTCCATTAAAATCTTTAGCCCATGCTGTGACAATGAATAGCCACAATGCTAATTGAGCTCTTAACAATATTCGCATTAGTGAAACTTTCGCTTGGCTTTGTAGCTTTTTATGATAACAAAATTAAGCAGCAAGTTAGATTGAATTCGTCTCTTTCTGGATTCAAGACGCTTTAAAAGTGATACTTTGGGAATGGTCAACAGCTATTTATATATTTCTCCCGTAAATACAACAATACCAGTAAATAACTACTTCGTGTAGTGCAATGTTGCCCCATTTCTTCATTGTCAGTTCTTTTGAAAATGAACCGGCTAACAGGGTCTGGTCTAATTTTTAGATTTTGCTTGCAGAATAGGTTTAGATTTTGCTTGCAGAATAGGTTTAAATTTTAGTTATCAAATAGCTTTGAACATGAACAAGCAAACGATACAACGGACATTAAAGCATCAACGAGTAGTATACTATTCTGATTGCAAAAGTTTCTATCATAACAACAACTTTTTCAAAGACACTAGTTACGATAAAACAATCAATTACAATTAAAAAGCAACTTGGCGAAAAATCTCTTCATATAGAAATAATCATCTTTGCATGAACTACCAGTTAAGAAACGCTCTAAACGTGTTTTCATCGTCGGAACACTAACTTCTGTATTATTCAACTGCAAACATATGCCTGAAATGCATGTGCTTATTTGCCAACTATGCTCAAATAATATCCTCTGAAAAACGCGTCAAAATTTTGCCTTTCTCCCAAGCCATTGAGTTCAACGTGGCATTAGTCGAGAGACGTTTTCTGAATTCAAGTTACTCCAATCTTTTTAAGGTGAAAGCATTGTGGACTTGGTGGTATATTTACATGAACGGCTGTTTAACACAAGCTAATAATGTAACCAATCTCAAACGGCAAAATTTATTTATACCATGCATTATCATACTGGTGCCATGAGTACAGACCGTATTTTTTTTCAATCTCAGCCCATTTATATGCACAAGATGTGAAATGACGCGTTTGCGATTGACAAGGTTTCCAACTTTTGACGATGCATTGAACATTGAATATGAGCAAATATTGAAGTAAAATAGGAAGATAAAGAAGAGCATAGGCAACGAAAGTTTAAAAGTTTTCGTTTGGTGGTTGTTTATTTACACTCAACCGTTTCTTGGCTTTTCTGCGTGTGCAGAATTTTTTAGCTGCTGGTGCCATATCTTGATTAGACGAATTCGTCAATGTTTCGACAAATCTCTATGAGCCATCAGGTATCATAATTTGTTGTTCTTGTGGTGTGTGTCTTTTTGCGTGGCATTTTGTGATTTTCTTTGACCAGATTTCAACTTAATTTCAACACATTCATTATCCCGTCATTTACTTGTCATGGTTTTATCGGGGCATGCTTTTCTAGTCTATCAGTGTAGACATAAAACAAAACATGACGTACAATTAAACGTGGAACAATATTGCCAACACGTCCAACATACTTGGTTTTTTTTATTTTTTTTTCATTTAATTGGGGGAAAAAATGGATTGCGACAATTGTCGCGTCAAGCCGCCTCATTAAGGGATTCTTGCATTAACTTTGCCTAGCGCAGGGTGTTACCCAAATAGAGAGTGTAGATTAAAAGGTGGGCTCATTTTAATTAAACATAAGCAGTGATTCGTGTCAACGTTAGCCTATTTTGGTGCAAATAGAGACGACCGCAGTTTGGTTTTGAACTTCTTTGGAAGGTATTCTTTTTCGACAGCTGCGGCCCTTTATGTACAAAATGGTATCGTGCTATGATATTTTGTACAACAACTCTGGAATTGAGACCCAATATTGTTCAGTAATCATACCATTTATTATGAGCAACACTTAGAAGTGCTTCTCATGCACCTGGATGCCAGGATATTGTTTCAGAATAAAATGTGCCTACAGGGTCCATTTACAGAAGCAGTGACAAGCTTTTACCTATTTCTTTTGTATGTACACTTGAATGTGTCTTGGTTCAGAAAAGGAAATGCAATTGCTATTTTCGGCGCATTGACGAAAAATCTTTGCAAACTTTTGATTGCAAAACCACAAATTTGTAAATTTGGGTCTATTTCTAATGCTAATTGCTCCAGTGGCAATAAGAAAAGTGAAAAGCTTATTTCTCATAACAAATAACCTGTCAATTATAAAATAAAACTAATAACATTTTGAACAAAGTATTGCAACTTAAATCCAAAATAGACCGAAAATAAAATATAGCTCGTGAAGAATGATTTAAAAATAACCTCAAAAAATACTGTAGCAAGTAGTACTGTGTATTTCAACAGTAAAATTGATAAACCGAAACAAATTAAAAATATAGATCGCAAAAAAGGCCGTGTGGTAGCAAAAAATCGACCCATATAAGTAGTGTGAGCAAGAAACAAAGTGGAAAAAAATTAGTTGCACCCGATAGCATATGGCAACAGCTTTCTCAGGGTCTAAGCAATGAAAAAATGAGCAATAAAAGCAAACTTGTGATTGACGATATCTTCAAGGTCGATGCTGACCCCTCATACGTAGTTGCTGTAGCAGTGGGAGCAGTAACATGAGCGTAAGAACTGCCAACTGTAGTAGATGTAACTGATCCTGTTCTTGTAGCACTTACAATACCAACAGCTGTAGGGTCTTCGTTGACACTGAGTAAGCCTCTTGTTTGTGACATCATTGTGGATTCTGCAACACCCACACTACCACCAGAACCAACAGCTGAACCAGCAGATAAACCAGCACCAGCTCCCAATGATGCAACGCCTGTGTTTTCTTCTCCTGTTTGACCAACAGTACCAGTTCGAGGGATGTCAGAGCAAGAATTGCTGACGTCAGTGGGGGAACTATCTCCAGAAGTAGCAACAACCGAGCCAATTGGGAAAGACAACACAACACCAGGTCCGACAATGGGCTCAGAATCAATGCTAGAACTAGAAACTAGATCTCCTGAACAAGTTCCGGTCTCTTGTGGCCCTCTCATATCACTCTCATTACTTGTGGCCATTCCTGAAGTTGGGCCAGGTGCAGATACCTCAACTGTTCTAACGCTTGCAATAACCGATTCACTTTTTATACCAGTTACACCATCATCTGTGCTGACAACTCCAGTTGTTACACTCTCAGTGCTCATAATATTTGAAGATGTACTAGGATCAGCACCCCCTTTCGATGCTGATACTGTAAGCCACGAACTTATCCGGTTAGATGGCCCTTCGGATACTCCAATTGTTCCACTATAAGGGATATCACTAGAACTGGAATTGACCCACCTTGTATAAAAACTAACCTCTGACGATATCCTATACGTTATCAAGGTGGTGTGCGAAGTACCTGACTGCGAGACAAGGCCTGACTCGGTTTCAACTGATCCGTCTGAGTGGGTCGTGGTCCACGTCTTGGTGAACTCAGTTTGAACAGCTGGTTCGAAAGTGCTCAACGTGGTGTACGAAGTGCCTGACTGCGAAACAAGGCCTGACTTGGTTTCAACTGATCGGTCTGAGTGGGTCGTGGTCCATGTGGAAGTAAACTCAGTTTGAACAGCTGGTTCGAAAGTGCTCAACGTGGTGAACGAAGTGCCTGACTGCGAAACAAGGCCTGACTCGGTTTCAACTGATCCGTCCGAGTGGGTCGTGGTCCACGTCTTGGTGAACTCAGTTTGAACAGCTGGTTCGAAAGTGCTCAACGTGGTGAACGAAGTGCCTGACTGCGAAACAAGGCCTGACTCGGTTTCAACTGATCCGTCCGAGTGGGTCGTGGTCCATGTCGACGTAAATTTGGTTTGTACTGGGGGTGGTATTGTAAACAAAGTGCTGAATGAAGTGCCTGATTGTGTTACTAATCCTGATCCAGTCTCCAAAGATCCATCTGCATGACTAGTTGTCCATGTTGACAAAAACAAAGAAGTTGGCGGTTGGGGGTATCTTGTTACAGTTGAAGTGGTAAATATACCATTTGTATTTGTGCTGATGGCTACAATGGCGTTGTCGGTATAGATGGAGCCCGCGGATGTTGTTGTCAATGTCGTGGTGTATGAAGTCGCGTCAATTCCCGGAATTGCCGGAATAGACTTGCACGGTTTACATTCCACAGGTAATCCCGGGTTTGGGACTGGACCATTGTACATGACGGAACCCAAATCAGGACCCGGCAAACCTGGAGCTTTATCTGTTACAACTGAGAACTTGGTATCGTTGTAGCCAGGACCAATTTTGAAATTTTGTACGTAGTTACCAACGTATAATGTTAAAATCTCAGTGGTTGCATTATACAACCACGGATTCTGACCAGACTTGGGATTATAAAGTGTAGCAGCTAAACCGATTTTGTTGGAAACGCCATCAACTTGTCCAAAACCTTTGACTGTGAAGGTCAAAGGTGTGACTGATCCTAATGCAACAATGGATGTAGAACCATCTGCCAAATAGAAAGTTTGATTTGATGAAATTGTTAAAGCGGTATTTGAAAAATAGAACGAGGAATTAGCTGTAGCTGTAACGCAACCAGTACCAAGTACATTGGCGGTTTGTAACCAAAGCTGGTTAAAGAAACAAATTTGACCATTGTTGTTTGCAGTCAATCCATGATTACCCAAGTAAACAACACCAGACGTTCTCTTCTTTTGGTACAATTGGATCAAACCATAATTTTGCCAATTGTTTGCTTTCATGTAAACAGTAGTTGCGGTGTCACCAGAACCAGATAAAAACATGTCACCGTTGTTAATCATCGACTTACCCATGATATCAAAAAAATAGTAAGCAGCACCGGTGATAGCATTTAAAGAGATGACACCATCATTAACAATGGAGTAAGTATCCCCCAAGAGTGTGGCTGTCAAGGAAATTTGCAGAGACACACTGGACACATATAAAGCAGCACCAGGTTCAACGTTGACGTTGGAAATAAAACTTGTTATAGCGTTATTGACAATAGACCAAAACGCCCCAGAACGTATAGTAATATCCTCATTATTGATGGTAATTGTCCCTCTATCAATCTTGTCTTTAGTAATATCTAAACTCCAAACTGTGGAGAGTAGAAACCAGGCAGAGAATATCACTCTTGAGAATGCTCGCATTGCAAAGATTTGTTGTCTCTCTCTTGATGATGATGATTAAAAGGCAGCAAAGGTGAAGCAAAAGCAAAAGTTTCTTTGTGAAGGTAAAATAATGGTTTGTTCAAAAGATGGTTTACTTGACTATTTATACTACTTTTATACGCTTGGTAGACTTTCAAAAGTATGGGTATATATGCGAAGAGTACTTTAGCCGCTTCTAGTAGTACTTCATTTGTGGCAGAAACATAAACGATAACTCTAAAATAAAACTGAAAGTTGTTCGAGTTTTGCAGCCAGAGGAAGAAGAGAAAAGACAAGACACAAAACCATAAACTGTCCAAAGAAAGAAGTAGAATAGAACCTTAGTGGGCGGACAAAGATTTTAAAAATGAATAATGCAAAAGTCAAAAGATAAAATCTGGTCACTATCGTACTACATTATTACAGGGTTCAAAAGTGACCTTCAATTTTCTTTCAACTTTTAGTGAATCTAATCCTCATTTATTTATATGGGACGTATGATAAAAAGAATGGTCACGATATTAGAGAAATGGCACCCACCAACGGCACTTATCATACGAGTAACTCTTAGAAAAGAAAAATATATTGAATTCAATTTATGTAGATATTATCATAGAGTATTCATTGGCCAATACTTTCAAAAAGTTGGACCACTTGAGCTTAATCTAACTCTATCATCAAAATGCAACATTAACCTTCATCTTTCCTTTGATTGCGCCATAATATTAAAGTTTTGTCTCAATTTTAAAGTTCAACTCTCATAAAGTTTAAAAATTTTTCAAAAAGTAAGAGCATTTAAGATTTCTAAATCCCTTGAATACTTTCTTGTGGGTCCCACATTATATACAGAATACAGGGTACTGATCAACATTTTTATAAGTGTTTGGCGATATGTTTCACTTACGCAAGCATGGATTTAGTGGTAGAGTATTGCAATAAATAATATTAGAGCACTATTTAAACAATCTGGTAGGGGATGTAAATGTTCTTCTTTTGAAAACTTTGCTGAGAAGGATCGTTTGGGCCAATTTTAGTAAAACTTTTTTTAAGACTCAATTTCACTACCCTTTTTGGCCTGTTCTTTACAACTTTGAATCCTTGTGTTTAACCTAAACATTTACACTGAACTCCTGTAAGTGGAATAACTTTTATATATACTTTAATTCCTATAGAACGTCTGTAAGCAAAGCATCAGAATTTACTTTGAAAATGGAGGAATTGGCAAGATACTGACTGTTTACAAACTTTTCCTCGATGAAGATAGTGTAGTTTAGTCTACTTAAATTCATTCCCAACATTTCGTTTTAAGTTGTTAGACACTATAACCACACTGCATTTCTCTATGATTGTAAATTAAACTGTTTAGTACAAGCAGATAAAATCTCTTGTCCCTATATAGCAACCTTGTGGTTCATTTCAAGAAGCAGCAGTACAACTAAGTCCTTCGGTTTATTCATTGAAACTGATCAATGTTCGGGTATGCATGAAACTTTTACCCCAAGACTGACAAGTTTGAACCTTTCTTGGCGCATTGATACATTTTATTTACGGGATTTCCTTGTTGCAATTGTGTCAACAACTCTTTTAATAAAGAAGAAATGTTCTTGCATCATTAGTTGGTCATTTGATGAGATGAAATCTGATTCATCGCCATACATTCTTTTACCCAGTGGGGCAATAACAACTATTGCAGAGAGTTCTAAAGTATTGCCTCAAGTCTAATGCTTCTTGGCCGCAAAAACTACTACCTAAATGAAACAGGAAGCACTAGCATTATCCACCTGTCTTCTCTTTATTGCCTACATAGGACACATAATAGACCCTTTTTGATTCTCACAGTTTGTTTCTTGCGCAACAATAAGTGTATGTTCGTCAATAAAGCTAAACTTCAGCACAAATGGAAATTCAGAAGCAAAAGGAAAAGTTAAAGTTGCCTGTTAGAGCAACCAGGATTTTGATTGGATAAATTGATAATCCAGAAGAAGCTTCAAAGGGGGTTTTTGTTTTCGAATGCAACACCTAAAAGCATTGTTGAAAAAAAAAGACAAAAAAGAAAAGAAAAAGAAAAAGAAAAAAAAAATCGAGCCATATTCACAACATTTCTTCGCTTCTATTTTAGATCATGCATTTCCGCTATACCAATACAGTATACTGTAGTTTTCCTTTTGTTGTGAATAACAGACAAAACTGTAATATACAATTGACCTTCAAGAGTGGTTATTTTAAATTGGTCAACACGTCTAAGGGTGGTGCTGAAACTTTATCAGACGACTATCTTACGATATCTGAAGCTTCTAATAAATGCAACTATTGAAAGATTGCCGTATTAGAAAGAACCCTTTTCCAAAAAAGTCAGAATGTTTTCCTCTTTTGTTCTGTTTTGCGGATGTACCAGAATAAACCAGGGTGAAAAGAGATCTTTAGCCAATAGTGATGATTGAGTAAATCTTTCAAGAGTGAGAAGTAAAGTTGGCATTTAACGAAGAAAGGATTAAATGGTGTTGCATTATTCAGCAAAGAAAATTGGTTGTCCTGCAAGATACCCACACTATTATTTTGGGTGATGAAAATTATTCACTAGTAAGATCCGCGACATATCTTGATTCTGTCATCATTGTGAGTCTCAAGCTTGGTATGAGAACATCACCTTATTTTCGATGCTTTTGAACTTTTCATTTTAAAGTAAGCCCAAAAAGGACATTAGCAAAGTTTACCCAGGGTTCAATTTAACCTCTTTCCTTCTTTCTCTTTCCTTCTTTCTCTTTCCTTCTTTCTCTTTCCTTCTTCCTTTCATCTTTTCATCTGAGGCATCAGATTTAATAAAAACCATTTGATATTTTAGTTCATATACCAACGAAGTCCTATAAAATTTTAGTGCTAACTAAGCAGTTGTAAAAGTGGGTCGATCTCAAGAATTTCTGTTTTCAGGTATATGCGAGAAGCACGTTGTACAGAGAAGCTAGATGTTAACAAACTTTAACTTTATCCAACGCTACAAACTTCTAATAAACTTCTAAAATGTATCTGCCCTCCTCTTTCATGTCTTCAACCACCTTGGCAACGTCTTTCAATTCCTCACCTACGAGCTTAGCACCATTTGAAACAATATCCTCCAAGCAAGCAGTAATATCAGGAACTGGCCATGTGGGACCGCACAAATAAAAGGATCCATTCTTGTTCACAATTGCATCAGTCAATTCGTCAATGGACTCCCTAATCTTATCTTGGATATAGATTTTTTGGGGTTGATCTCTAGAGAACGCAGCACCAATGTGAGTCAATAACCCTGCATCTCTGTAAGCTTCCCATAATTCACCATAAAGATACTCCTCCTTCTTATGTCTAGATCCCATGTAGAGGTATATTTCACCAATTTCGTGACCCTGCTGTTGTTGCCAAATCTTCTCCTCGATGAAAGCTTTGAATGGAGCCAAACCAGTTCCCAACCCAGACATAACAATTGGCTGTGTTGTTAATGGTGGCAACTTCATGACTGAGGGTTTAACACTAACAACTAATTCATCACCAATCTTCAAGTCAGACAAGTATTTCGAACAATGACCATACCTCAATCTTCCTTTAGGGTCAACCCAATCAACAACAACAACTAGCAAGTGCACGGCGTTAGGGTGAATTTTCTGTGACGACGCAATTGAATATTCCCTTCTCTTTAAAGGTGCAACAATCTTCACCAAGTCAGCAAATTTTGGTCTTGTCGATTTGAACTCTTGCAAAATATCAAAGTATGAATCAAAGTTAACATCTTGTCTCTTTTTCAACTCCTCGGCTCCTTCTGCACTTGCTAATTTGATCAAATTCTCCTTCTCCTTCACGTCGGATGCAAATTCTGCTAATGACTCATAAAATCTCTTGGGTGGCTTACCCAAAAAGTCAATGGACTCGCTCAAGATTTGCCTTGCTGATCTAATTTCAACCAATCCTGGATCCTCTTTGTTGGTTATTTCAACAAGGGAGTCTCCATCAACGTTGTAAAACTCGAGGAAAGCTTCAACTTGTTCGGAATTGTTTCTTCCGTGAATACCCAACGCTTCACCAATTTCGTATTTCAAACCAGTTCCAGTGGTATCGAATTCAATGTGGAAAATATTTCTCGAGTATTCAGCTGGTGTCAACCTCTTGTTTTCTTGCACCTTGACGATAAAATTCTTGACTGGCAAATCGGGTCTCAAATCTTTATTAAGATTGAATGCTTCTGGGAACACAACTTTTTGCGCAATGTGTTTGTGGAGGGTGTTGTTAACTTCTTCGGGTTGCTCGAGTGGCACTCTTGGGTTTGCAAACACCGACGTCTCGGTTACAAAGAATGGAAGTGGTTCGATTTCCTTTTCTTGAGAAGTTTCCTCAACCTCTTCATTTTTAGTAGAAGCTTCCTCCTTCTCATCACTCTTCTCCAGCTCAGGCACTTCTTCCTTCAAGTCTTCCCACTCTGGCAACACTTCAAGAGGAACAATTGCATTCTTCAAATCTGCAGCCTTGATAAAATTATCCAAAACAGTTGCCAATAATTCTAATGAGCCACCATTTGCTTGCAATAACTTGTTAACAATATAATCTCCCAATTCGGGCAAGGTTGCTCTCCAGAATGCCAACTGTAACAAAAGCTCAGAAGTTAAACCTTTGGTGCCATTATTGGTTTCATCCAATGCATCAACAACTGTAAAATCGACAGCAATGAGCTTGTTATGGTTCAAAGCCAATGACTTTTTGAATTCAATGGGTAATTTTTCAACGTCAATCAGTTGTTTCTGGTTGATATAGATGATCGTGGCTCCGGGCTTGGCGGTTGCTAAAATATCATAAGAGTCCAACAACGATAAATCTTCAATGACAATAACATCTGCTGCATCAGCAGTGCTATACGATCCGGTTGTTGAAGTAATTTGTGAAAAAAATACACCACCAGATTTTGAATTGTCGTATTTGTTTCTGATTGCAACATTTTTTGAGTCATCCAAAGACAAAGAAAGAGCCAACTTGTCAACAGTATCAACAACAATACGATCGTCTCTGCTCCAAAACAAATATTGCCCCTCGGGTGATGTGTTGGCAGTAATAATTTGATCCTTTGGCTCGCTGTTGTATGAAGGTAAAATATTCTCAATCCTCACACTAGTATCGTACTTGGAGACTGTCTTTGCAATGGTAATTGGAGTCCAGTCAAAGTCCAATGGGTACCTAAACTCTTCAATTGAGAGTGAATAGTAACTATTACCCAAGAATAAAGTAGCAGTGACATCAGCCTTCAACTTGTCATTCTCTGAATTCAAAATCACCAATTTTCCAGCTGATTCAGGAATAATCAGCAAAAACTTGTTTTGATTAAATGGAAGTGGGACTCGAACTTGAATCAAGCCAATTTCTTCATTAACAACGTTTCTCCATTGCTCATTGACATGAGTTCCATAGGCAATAAACACGGTCCTGGCGTTTTTACCTCCAATATACTCAAACTGAGAGTAATTTTTTCCAGTGAACTTGTTTAACAAATCGAAAGCGGCATCAATGCTGAGATCGGCTGATGGAGCTGAATCAAGCAAATTTTGATACAATTGACCAATTTCCTCAACTGATAAAGCGTCACCAAATTTTCTAAAACTTTTAGCAGACTCAATACCATCAAACAAGAAAATCGAGGGTCTACCTGTTGCAAAAGCGTAAAAATGGTTCAAGATGGCCAAATGTTGACTCTCATTACCAAATTCAGTAGAGGTAAACACTGGAAAATTTAAATCTCTGGCTGCATTCAAAACCCTTCCATAGTTTGATACTAACGCATTCTCAACAAAGTCAACTGCTGAAACATTCAAAGCTAATGGGGCCTTTTGTCCTAATAAGGAGCTTCTCATGTAATCAATACCACTAGCACCTAAAATGGTTGAAACCGGTTGACCATGTGTTCCATTCCTCTTGAAATAGCCCAAAATGGCATTAGAAGCCCCTGATCTAACTTCAAACTTGTTGTAAAATGGGACTATTCCAAAAGCATTGGAGTGTTGGTTGTGCAACCAAACTTGAATATATGAGTCAAGTAAGTTTTCTGCACCAACAGTCTCGTAGCTGAAAATCTTTGAAGCAATCGCATAAATAGTTTGATTGATGAGAGTTCCAGCAGACGTGTAGGTTGAACCTCTGATCAGTTTTGGATCAGTTGTTAATCCAAATGGGTTTGAGGTGATTAATCTTGTAAGGTTGGAGCCGCCTAAACTAGCTTCACTAGCGGTACTACCACTTGGGCTCTTAGGCACTTCCTCATTTAGCAAGTGTGGGACCATCTTCAGTATCTTTGAATGATAATAGCTATCAGCTTTGTCTCTAAAAACATGGAGAAAATGTTTTCGTGGTGAAAAGTTTACCAAAGATACTTTTTATCAATATTTTTCAATCTTATCACGTGCAATCAACTAATTAATATTAAAAATTTACAAAATTTCTTTTTTCTGCAAAATCGTCAGGCGTGGGTTAATCAAATCTACCGAGGAAGAGAAATGCGTAGTCAATGGCAAAAGAGACGGAAACCATAAATGCATAGTACCAAAAGGATCTTCTGGTAATAAGCTAAAGCTGGTGCATCTATGTATTTTGTCTCTTCTTATATATCATAAGGAAGCGCGGAATGAATGCAATAGTTTAAAGAACTGAGGAAATCATTATCTCTGAAAGCGTTTTATTTTTTTTGCTGCAAAATTGTGTAAAACAGTTTCAACTAAGGAAATGTATATTCTCTTATATTTTAAAAACATTTCGTATACAAATGAAATATTTCAACAAATGATATGATTTTATCTAAGGGCGGAAGGATTCACTATCAATTAACAAAAAAGAGAGAAGAATAACCTGGACTTATTTAACTCGAGTGCTATCTCAAACATAGCCAAAAGAGATGATTTTGTTGAATTTGCAACTGTCATCAGGATCAATACAAGAATGAAAAATTACTAGGACCCAAATAGCTGTGCAAAAGCAACCTTTAGAAGTCAATGAAGAAGTTGGAGGCAGTGATATATCTGGGAAAAATCGTTTAAATCAGCTATTCGACAACAGTTAGTTTTGTATGTGGCAAGATCACGTGAGCACTACCTCACATGTTTATATTGGCTTTCTCAGCCTAATGACCCATAGAGAAATAGCCTACGGAAAGACACAGCTAAACAAGTAAAATAGAGTTATCTAATACACAATGAAATGAATATAATGAGTCAATCTTCTCCGCGACTTGAAAGCACAACGTTCATTTAATTAAGCCACTAACTTTTTGCCCTAAAACAGCTCATTTTCTTTTCTTATTAGCTCCTGTATTCAACGAGCTACCTCCCACGCTAGGTTTCCTTCTCTTCTTAGGCTCATCATCGGGGACTGTTTTTGGCGACGGTGAGGACACATCTGCCTCTTTCTTTATTGCGGAGTTGTTTGTCGTATTTCGCTGCTGCTGCTGCTGTGAATTTGGATTCATATTCTGAGCTTGTGGATTTTGCAACTGCTGTTGCAGGGGGAGAGGCGACTTGCCCTGCATTGTTGTTGATGATGACTGAAAGTTGTTTCGAGCAGAAGCCATTTGGTTTTGAAATTGAAGTGATTGTTGTTGTTGCGGCTGAGCACCAAACCCATTCACAAATGTTCCTCTAGCCATTTGAAAATTTGTCGGTATTGTTGCTTGAGGCGTGGTTAGGAGAAGTTCCAACGCTCTTTGAGGAGACTTGATATTATTTAATTGACTGAAATCCATTAATTGCTTCATGTGGGTCAAAATATCTGCAAGTTGCAAGTGTCTAGTATTGGATTTACCCAATCCAAAAGTAGAAGTATTATACACGGTTTGGGAATCACGATAGACGTCATTCACCGACTTGCTTTTCATTGGCAGTTTGCTCAAAAAATTCAAATTGATTAAGCTTTCGTAGGTGATGCAATTCACATCTATCCATTCAATGCGCAAGTCTCGACTCATTAGAACTTTGACATTTCCATTTAGTTTCGATATAGAATTATCTTCGTACATTAGGTTGATTTCAAGTTTTGACACAATTATAATTGATCCATTATTTAGTACTTGGAATTTCATCCCTGGTAGAAATATGGAAAACCTTGAAAATTCTGAATTCGCTACACATTGGGAAAAAAACCTAGGTGCCGTAGTTGTGTTGAGTTCAAAGTGGTTGGCTGGACTAGAATCATTTACTCCTTTACCAGCCAACTTTAAAAACCCAAAATTTAATCCAGTTACTTCACTCAACGTTCTGTCAAACTCGCTTGTTATTGACTTGGAAAAATTTAATCTCAAAGTTGAATTGGGTAAAAAGTAGGCTGGCGTGATTCGTTGCCAAAATTCAACACTCCTTAGGTTATCATGAGCCTCATTACTCAAAAAATCAATCAAGTCAAGCACACGCATGGTTGCAGCATTTCCCAAGTTTCTTTTAATTATGCGTGCATTAAATTCTTGCTGCATTTGTTCAGTAGAAGTTAAAACTGGCTGCTGCTGTTGCTGACCCTGACCTTGCGGGAATTGTCTTTGAGAAGCCAGCACAAAAGCTGAATTTCCATCACCGCCACCCAGGTTAAACTGTGGTTGAAATGGTGCCTGGGGTCCGGGTTGTTGAAACATTATGCCTCCTGGTGTCTGCTTAACCTTTGCTTGGTTTCCTTGTTGTTGGTTTAATGTTCGACTAGAGGCAGCGTCCTTCCCCAGAGCCTTCTGGTTGTTTGACTGGTTGATAACTGGTGACAGGGTATTCCCCATAGCCGGTGTATGACCCTGTGAGTTGCTACCTGAACTTGTTTGCGCAGGAGGAACCTGCTGTGATACGGTTCGTGTTGCAGGGACGGGCATTCCATTCAAAATCGCACCGTTCGGTTGCAAGTTCTGTGCATTCATTGGAACGGATTGTAGACTAGCTGTGCTTCCATTGTAGTTTGTGTTTCGTTGTAATCCAGGTCGAGAGGTGTTGGGGACATTGTCATTGTTTATTTCCATCTGATGAACTGGATTGCTGTTTGATTGTCGCAAAAGCTGCTGGGCCGGTGTTTTGTTCAGTTTCTGCTGTGGAATCCCATTTCCATTTCCTTGTAATTGTTGTGAATTATTTAGTTGTCGTTGGAATTGCTGCACTTGATGCTGCTGCTGCTGCTGCTGTTGTTGTTGTTGTTGAGGTGGTGCTTGTATACTAATAGTCCCGTCAGTTTGTAACGGTTGTTGAAACTGATTATGTGGCGTTTGAGCAAACATCTGCTGCAGGTGCAGCTGTGTATTGGTGTTCATCAAATGGGTGTGTACGGTGAATGTCAGAGCACGTTGCTTCTGTTTCGCTTATCGAGGGTTGGTTGAAGATTTTAAATTTTCAATGTGGATTTTGTCTCTCCTTGGCACTGTTTTGTTTATCATGACATTTTTTTTTTCTTATTTTTATTTTCTTGGACAGTATTTCTAAACTGCGATAGCTGTGGGAGAAGCAGGGGGTTCATTTTCAGACCTACAAAGTAAACTGGTGTAATTATCATATATAAAACTTACACTACTTATAAGCAAGTACTGAATTACCATTCAAAGAGATTGTGTTGTTGACATACCGAATCAATGCGGGGTGGTTCAAAGTTGCCCGCCTTTCCTTGTAAAACGATGTTGGTTCTTCATCGACCCCCACTGATCCCTCTTTATCCTCAGCTATCGTCTCTCTTGATTTTGTCGCTCTTCTCTTCAATAGTTTGTTCAAAGTATCTCTCTTTTCCTCTTCCAACATCTTATTCTTATAATCTTGCCTCTTTCGAGCATTCTCTGCCTTTCTCAACGCTATTTCTTCCTCAGTTTCTTCCTTCACCTTTTTCTGCTTTGGCTTCTTCCCGCTAGCGTCCAACTCGAAATACGGGTCCTCGATTGCACCCACTACCTCTGTATTAAGTCGCGCCCTTTGCCTCTCGGTCATCTTGGATACATCATTCACGGTATTCGGATTGTATTCCTCCTCTTCATCTGTAAGTATAAGTTCTGGATCTAGGTCTTGATGTTGCAGCTTACGTTCTGGCATCGGTTTTATCTTTATTTTCTTTGAAACCTTTGGTAAAGTCTCTACATCGGTCAACTCTTCGGAAAAGCCACCATCTTCATCGTCTTGGTAATAATTGACCTGCCTTTTACGCGTATTTCTAGAGCCTCCCGGTGCAGATTTACCCAAAGACTTTTCCTCTTTCTTTGTGGGTGGCTTGATTTTAATCTTTATTGACTTTTTGACTGTCCCCGATTTTGACTTTTTCAAAATTTCCCCAGGTTCATCCTCTTCATCATCGTTTCTTGGTTCCAAATCTTCGTCCATATCCGAGAGCTCATTTTCAAAGTTGGTATCCATATCGTCTTCTTCATCCTCATTACTCAGGGTTGCGGGTTCGTCATCCAAACTATTTTCCTCTCCTTCTTCTCTCAGATCATCTTCACCACCACCTACTGGTTTCCTTCTTCTTCTTTGAGATACAGATCTGGATGCTGTGTGTTGCGGCTTGTAGTCATCCTCTTCTTCATCGTCATAGTCATCAAGGTCAGCGTTGTCATTCGAATCAGATTCTAGTGGCGACTCTTCTTCAGCAAAATCCGCATTCGAGTCTTCTTCCTCTTCACTACTAACGATAATTTTTGATTTGGCCATTCTTGGTCTCTAATAATTGATGGTTTTAAAGTGGTGCAGCCAGTCTAAGTTTGATACTGACAAGAGCTTGAGTATGGTTCAAGACACACAATAACATTTTTTTTTCTTTGTCTTTTTGGACTCTAGAGTTTCATCATAAGAGGATTACGAAAGCCAAAGTAAACATCGTATCAATTAATATTATCTATATCTTATACTCGTCTACTATATTAAACTTGTCCACTCATATACAATCCCTTAATACTTCTAATTTCGTTTTTTGTATCGACAACAATGTTTCTTTTCCTAGCTTTACCCCCATTTGGTCCAGCTTCAAGACCAGTATCCAAAGTGAAAAACTCCTGGTCATCAAAATATACCAAGTCAGACTTATTTTGCAAATCTTTGACGGCATAGTTGACACCTTTATAATTACTGAAATTTTCCATCGACCAGTGCTTCACATAAGTATTGAGCAAAGACGACATTTTCACCATTTTCTGATGTAGTTCACCTTGTGACAATCTATCCTCTACTGCAGCCAGCTTGTCTGGATGTGATTCAGTCTGAACTATGGCATCAGCATGTAATTTTCCATTTCTTTTAATGGCAACGATTGGTATATAGCTCACTTTAGTGATCATTTTCAAGTAAATTTCTCTCAAGTTCAGTCTCATGGTTTCGAGGAACTCTAACCTTCTGGAATTAGACGTTTCCAACAACGGTTTGACAATGAAAAACCCCACGAAGTATGACACGATCAATGCAAGGGATCCACCATTGGTTAATTTGAGAAGGTATGTCAAAAGACCAGATTTTGACTTTGTATTCTTCAAGCTGTAAGTAGACGGGTCATACGCTGACTCTGGGATTGTAAATTTGGGAACCGACATGTTGTGTTATCGTCAAGAAATGTGTCGAGGGAGCTGCGTTGCTTTCTTTTTAAAAATCTGCGGGGCGCTCAGACTTTAACCGTGGTATTATCATGCGCTACCAGAATGATTCAATATCACACACAAGTCAAAGAAGCAGTGTGCTCGGCATTCACACAATGGGTTTTATTTATTCCACTTTAGTCTATATACATACTAGAATTGGCTGTGAATTCTATTATAATTTTTGTTCAACTCATCATCGTCCTTACTCGTCTTGCCAGAGGTTTTATATCTCTTTCGGTCCTTTTGTAACTCGGTACCACCACGGATTTTTGACCTTATGATAGTCTGGTCCCTCTCCTGTCTTTGAAAAATCTTTCTCTCTTTTCTCTGACTCATCATTTCTTCGTCAAGATCATTTGGTACCCACTTGCTTTTCAAGATACGCCGTATGGCTTCTGGTGATATGTGGAAAAACTGAGCCAAGTCTACTGTTCTATACTGTGGAAATGTTTCTTTGAGCTCTTTTACTTTGATCATCTCTTGTCTGCTAAGTTTCCTCTTGGGGTTCCAACGGTCGTACTTTGATTTTTGCGTTAATTGTCGTTTGATCCAAGGTGGAACAGTGTGGTTCGGGGAGTCAGAAGTTTTCCTTGACAATTCTGCCAATTTCATTTCCTCTAATAAAGTTTTTGGTTCATACTTGCTCTTGTTGTTTGTTGACGGTAGACTCTGAGCATAGGAACCACTAGCCAATTTCGTAGGCTCGTCTTTTTGAATATTATTGGACCTGAATCTGCACAGAATAAGGCATAATGGATTTCGAGACGTCCTCAATAAAGCATATCCTAAGCTGATATAGGCAGCAGAGTAACTTATCGGTAACATTTTAGAGCCATTAAGTGAATAGATTTGAATAGAATCAAACGGGGCAAAGAGAGAGAGAGAGAGAAAGAGAAAGAGAGATTTATTTTGATGAGCATTGATGCGGACTGCATACAAAGTTCCAAGCAAAGAGAACCAAAAAAGTTGATAGAAAAAAGACACGGTTTAAATTACAGATTGGGAACGCATTGACAGACTTACTCACATCGTCACTTACAACAATCAGGACCACTCAAAGGATGATACTGGATAATCAATTGAATACCATTGCTTTGACTTTTGGTTTTGCTTCAATAATCTTGATATTGGTATATCATGCTATTTCCACCAACATCAACAATCTTCAACAAAAAAAGGTACAATAGAGGAAATGAAAGTTAGGCTTGGAGGTACTTTGAAAAAGAGGGGATCTAAACGAGTATATTGACATAAAGAAAGGATTGTATAAGAAGATTAATAGATATAAATGAATAAGTTTACATTTACTTTCATATCTTTGCTAATGTCTCTGGAGCTGAACGCAAAGTGCTGACATTGAGTGTGATAACGGAGGTTGCTCCATCTTTAAAGAGATGTCATACGGTGGGCGTGATTCAAGAGAGTAAGAAACTTTCTGCTTAAACAGATAATCCTTCTGGATCGAGACTAATCTTTGATGATAAACAACACAAAAACGTGGCACGATATTGAACTTCCACGTTCATCCCTCAATATTATCAAGTAGAAAAGGGGGAACTACGTAACTAACAGTAAAAGAATATCAAAAATTGAATACGTTTATCATTTCACTTGTCCATCAAATCTGCTATACTTAATGCTAATGCTAATGCTAATGCTAAGCGTAGAATGAGAATTAATAATCTCTCTGCATATATGTAGACCAAAATAAATTAAAAAAATAAAAAACCAAAATAAAGAAAATAAAGAAGAACAGCGAATAAATGACAAAATTTTATTAAAAAAAGAAAAAAAAAGAAAAGGCGGGTAAATGGGAAGAAGAAGAGGAGAAGAAAAAAACGATCTATAGACAATACAACGGTTAACTAATACACTCTTTGCTTGACTTATTTGATATCTTACTGTTTTTCATCATCAACCCCAAATTACATCCATCGCTTTACAAACACAGTAGAAGAAAACACTTCTCATTGTGCTGAAGTTTTTCCCCCATATTGCTCACAGTTTGCATATATTATTGATACACTGAAGTTTGTGTGTGACTCCTATTTTTTTTTTTGTTGTCCACTATCACCCACTCACATTCGCTATAGTACCACACCATAACTAATCATTAGCACTGTTGTCACATCTTCTTAGTTTTAAAACATAGATTGACATAATACAAGCTTTTCCTAACAACAAACAAACAAGAGAAACCTTTCAAATGATGGATAATACACAGACAGGAGTACAAGATTCGACTGCGGATAATAACTCATCAACCAACGCAAATAAGGACGTGTCTATGGTTGACGTAAGTAGAGTCCATGGAGAAGGTCAACCCATAAATAATGACACCAATACCACAGTTGAACCACAGCCAGTAAGAAGAAAGTCAACCTTGATTCTAACAGATGATGCTGACCCGGACCAAATGAATATAGACAAGAAAGAGACAGATCAAGGCGGTGATGAACAAGAGGAAGATAGGATGCATGTTGATAGTTCGTCTTCGAACCTACAAGAAAACAATCAAGGGGTGCTGGAGAGGCACCCATCACAACCACAACCACAACCACAGGATCAGAATGCTCCATCACAACAACAACAGCAACAACAACCATCTCAGTCTTTAGCCCCACCACATTCAGAGAAAGCAATCACAGTACCGGTGGATATTCAGTGGGTGCAACGTGGTGAAAAAGTTTATGTCACTGGTTCATTCACTGGGTGGAGGAAAATGATTGGGTTGGTGAAACAACCGGATGGAAATTTCGTGATAACTTTGGGATTACCAGTGGGTACTCATAGATTTAGATTTGTTGTTGATAATGAATTACGATTTTCTGATTTTTTACCTACAGCCACTGATCAAATGGGAAATTTTGTCAATTATATTGAAATCACCCCAGAAAATGTTCAACAACATTTGGATGAACAATATGGAATACAGGAAGATCATCCAACACTACCACAACAACCGCAGCAACAACCACAACCCCAACAATCACCACAGCAACAGCAAGTGCAACCGGAAAGACGGAGATCAGTGTCATCATCTATATCCAGTCGAAGATCATCAACGTCACGTTCAAGAACAGATTCAATGTGGCGTCTCACCAATGATGATGATGATATGGGTAATGGGTACTCAAGATATCATGATAATGAAGAAGACGATGGCATTGAAAGAAAATTTGAATATATAAATGATATTCCACCAATCTTTACTGATCCAAAAGTAATGGAACAATATTATGTTGCTATAGAAAAACAATCAAGATCCAATAGTGGTCAACAACAAGCATGGTTACACCCTCCACAATTGCCACCTCATTTGGAGAGTGTTATATTGAACAATTTCAATAGTAATGATAATAATTCAGGTGCACTCCCCATTCCCAACCATGTTGTATTGAATCATTTGGCTACAACATCTATCAAGCATAATACATTGGCAGTAGCTTCAATTGTGCGATACAAGAGGAAATATGTAACACAAGTTTTGTATGCTCCTTTATAAGAAAAAAAGAAGTAGTAGTAGGGGTTTAATAGATATAAATGAATCAATCAATTGAAGTGATTTTTTACTTTGTAGAGTGATATAGTTTGAAAAAAATAGGTGTTAAAAACTAAATACTAGGATAAGCTATAAATTATTCACCAGTTTACCTTTAGAAATCACGTCTGTTTGATGAACCATAGGAGTCATCATTGTCATTGTCATATCTGTTGCTTCCTCCAGATCTGTTGGACGATCCATATGAATCATCATTACCGTAAGAGTCATTGCCTCCTCTCTTGTTTGATGATCCATAGTTATCATCATCATTATTACCAAATGAGGATGAGTTTCCACCTGATCTGTTTGAAGATCCATATGAATCATCATTACCGTAACCACCACTTCTTGTATTTGATGAACCATAAGAGTCATCATTATCGTTACCAAATGTGTTGCTTCCTCCAGACCTGTTGGACGATCCATATGAATCATCATTACCGTAAGAGTCATTACCTCCTCTCTTGTTTGATGAGCCATAGCTGTTGTCATCATTGTTATTGTTGCCAAATGAGGATGAATTGCCACCTCTGTTTGATGATCCATAAGAGTCGTCATTATCGTTGCCATATCCGCTTCTCTTGTTGGAAGAACCATACGAGTCGTCATTATTTCCACCACTACCAAAAGAAGACGATCCATAGTTGTCATCGTTGTTGTTTCCAGTTCTGGATCCACCGTAGCTGTTGTCATCGTCACCACCCCTTTTTTCTCTATCGTCTTTACCAAATCCAAATACCATTTTGTTTTCTTTTTGTTTGCTAAGCTGCTTTGTTCAATTGAATTTGTCAAAAGAAAAGTGTAGGAGGGAATACCTTCTTATATTTATAGTATAATAATTAATGGGGGAGTACTTGAAATTGCATTCAATACAAAAATACACGTTTCAATTGCTCCTTTGTCAATTTGCAAAACAAATGACTTTTTTCTGTTTCATCGTCTCCTCTAATTTCATTATACTACTACATACATTACGTATTCCCTCCTTTTTTAGTGTGTGTCTTTTTTAGTTTCATTCTTTCTCTTGTGTGAGTTTTGTGTATTTATCAATGTATTGTGTGAACAACGTGTGTGTGTTGTGTGTTGACGCAGTGAAGGAATAAAATAAAAAATAAAAATAGAAACAACGATTTTTTTCTTGAGGGGCGGTGTTTCTTATAATGTGAATCAAAGGAAAAACTGCCTACACTTGTAACTTCAATGCACCAACAATTTTATAATACACGTCAGATATAGGTGTAGTTTTAGAACTGACCTGTCTCCATACTCTTATGATTTGATGTAAAACCACAATTTCAAACAGAAGATTGAAAGCTGTTGAATATTTTCGTTGACACAAAACAGAATTTCATATTCCATGCTCGGAGGAGAGAGACTATTGTGGCTTTTTTTTTTAAATTGGGAATTGGGAATTGGGAATTGGGGATCGTGCCTGTGAAGGGAGAAAGAGTGTGTTTAACTTTAACCACCGTGCACTGTGTAAATTGTGCATAGCCCAATTACCCTTCCTTCTTCCCCCAAGACTTCACGAAACAGTGATTAGGTTGACTCTACAATGCTTCATTCTTTTACTTTCAAAACAACAACAGTTCATCTTTCATCATTCTATGACGTCAAAAGCATTAAGAAAAAGAAAGGGAGTCAAATAAAGTTTCAAGGGGGGAAAGGGAGGAGAATTCAATTATATGCAGGATTTTTTTTGTTTTCAAATACGACCCCCCCATCCAATTATGTTCAGTTACGCATCATCAAAAGTAGTTTCACGTTATCTCTTCCTCTCTCTATAAGTGTATGCATGTATGTATGTATATATGTATGTATGTATGCCTGTACCCGTGTCGGTGTACTTTGTATTGCTTTTTGGACTACAGTGTGGTCACCAGTCATGGATATAACTCACTTATGGACGCGTAGAACTAAAATTCCGTTGAATGGATAGAGCCTCTATTATATATATTGATGGTTTACCTACTCAGCTCTTTGACGTATGCTAGATAGAGGTTAAAAAATGAGTTGCAAAAATCTCATGGTTGAAAGCGTTCTGGAGATGTATGAGGGGAGTGAGTAAGAATAATTGGGTGTCGCATGAAAGGGTTGAAGAATTTTTGACGCGAATTATGTCACTGCAACTGATTCAAAGTTTTGATTCTTGTGACGAAGAGAATAGTGATTTTTCATGTTTGAGTGTGCAGAAGAATGTTTTGGATTTAAGATACAGGAACTTAGAGTTGAGTATGGAAGGACCGAGGATGCTTGCCAAAATTGAGGACGGTATAGTAGAATTAAAGACTAAATTGGCGGCATCAGAGGTACTTATTAATGTTTATTCAACCATACTTGAGATACATAAGAAATGTGAAAAGCATAAATTGAGGTTGTCGACCAAGCGAACTCAAAAAAAATTCATGAAACTACTATCGGAAAATACTGAGTCAGTGAAGAGGATTGTTAGCATGAAAGAATCAAATCAAGGCTATGAATTTGAGATGGAACCTGAATCACAACCTGATCTTGAAAAGAGTAATTTGGAAGAGGGAATTACCAATGGGACATTAAATCCAAAGAAGAAGAATAAGAAAAAGAGAAGTAAAAAGCATAACGCATGAGGTTGAGTGTTGAATGTAATTACAAGTTTGAAACTGGTATCATTGCTACTGTTGTTGCTGCTGCTATTGTTACTGTTGGTGCTGCATTGGTTACTATTGCTATACTTTTGGCTACCATATTTATATTGAGCCCATTATTTTGATGGTAATGTCATGCAATGAAATTTTCACCCTGTGTAGGTTGATCTCTCAGGTTCGATGTAGACTTCAAACGTGTTGGATTTGCTTTGCTCTTGTTCACTATCAAGAGTGCCAAAAATTTCCCTTTTTTGAAGCTCAAGTTCGTGTCAGTATTGGCAGGTTGTTGAAATAACAAGCTTCACAACTAGCTACGGTTGGATGTTTTTAGGTTGGGTGCAAAAAATTTAATACATTAAACAAAATTTGATCAATTACACGTCCTTGTCGCGAAGAAAGAAGAAGAAGAAGAAGATCAAAGAACAAAAGAAGAAGAAAAAAAAATTTAGTACGTGAGGTGGGAAAAATCTACGAAGAGCTAGTGCTAGTCACAACACAACTTCTCTAATCAATATGTCTGTTCAGATATTCAAAGACCAAGTTGAGGAAGATAGAGCTGAGAATGCTCGTTTGTCTGCATTTGTTGGAGCAATTGCTGTGGGTGATTTAGTTAAATCGACGTTGGGTCCAAAAGGAATGGACAAGTTGTTACAAAGTGCTAGTAACCCCGACCACTCGATCGTCACCAATGATGGAGCCACTATTTTAAAGTCTATACCATTTGAGAATCCAGCAGCTAAAGTATTAGTCAATATATCCAAAGTACAAGACGATGAAGTAGGTGATGGAACAACTTCAGTCACCGTTCTCAGTGCTGAATTATTGCGGGAAAGTGAAAAATTGATTGACCAAAAAATACACCCTCAAACCATAATTGAAGGTTTCAGAATTGCAAGAAAACATGCAATCGATGCATTGGATAAAAATGCAGTCAATAACGGGTTAGATCCAGCAAAATTCAGATTGGATTTGTTGAATATCGCCAAAACGACCTTGTCTTCAAAAATCTTGTCACAAGATAAAGAACAATTTGCAACTTTGGCTGTAGATGCAATCTTGAGATTGAAGGGATCGACCAACTTGAACAATATTCAAATAATCAAGAAAGTGGGTGGGAAATTATCTGATTCATACTTGGATGAAGGATTCATTTTGGAGAAAAAGTTTGGAGTAGGCCAACCAAAAAAAATTGAAAATGCCAGAATACTTATAGCAAATACATCAATGGATACCGACAAAGTCAAAATATTTGGTGCCAAGTTCAAAGTTGATTCGACTTCTAAATTGGCAGAATTGGAAAAGGCAGAAAAAGTCAAGATGAAAACCAAGGTTGATAAAATTAAGAACTACGATATTAATGTTTTTATAAACCGTCAATTGATTTATGATTATCCTGAACAATTGTTTACCGATTCCAAAATTAACACCATTGAACATGCTGATTTTGACGGTGTTGAAAGATTGTCCTTGGTTACGGGCGGAGATGTTGTTAGTACTTTTGACAATCCTAGCACTACAAAATTGGGTCGTTGTGATTCCATCGAGGAAATTTTAATTGGTGAAGATCCATTTTTGAAATTCTCTGGAGTTGCTGCCGGAGAAGCTTGTACTATTGTCTTACGTGGTGCTACTGATCATGTGTTGGAAGAGGCTGAAAGATCATTGCATGATGCGTTGTCGGTATTGTCGCAAACTACCAAAGATACCAAAACTGTATTGGGTGGAGGCTGTTCTGAGATGCTCATGGCTAAAGCCGTTGACGAGGCTGCAGCCAACGAGACTGGCAAAAAAGCCCTTGCTATCGAAGCCTATAGTCGAGCTTTGAGACAACTACCTATCATTTTGGCAGATAATGCCGGATATGACTCAAGTGAGCTTGTTACAAAGTTGAGATCTGCTATATATAATGGAATTTCAACGTCTGGATTAAACTTGAATGAGGGTATTGTTGCTGATATGAGAGAATTGGGTGTTGTAGAGAGCTACAAATTGAAAAGAGCAGTTGTCAACTCGGCAACTGAAGCAGCTGAAGTGCTATTAAGAGTAGATAACATTATCCGTGCCAAGCCTCGTACTGCCGATAGAAACCACTAGTGATAGAGCTTTAATATAAGTTGATCGCAAAAATCTTTTTCCAACATCTCTCTCTCTTTCTAGCTGAATGAGTACTGATCCAAAGTGGGATTAATCCCCCCTCCCCACAAACCAACTTCTAAACATTTTTACTTTATTTTTTTTTTCTTTTGGGTTGAAAGCTCGCTTGGCAAAACCCAATTGACCAAACAAATTTGAGCTTTATTGAATTATGTAAGTCATCCCTCACACACACGACAGGGAGTAGAATTCAATGTTTTTCGTACACTCCAAAATAAAAGGAATACAATTTGATAAAGATAGTAATTATAGATATCCATCTTATATCGGATATAATGCTTTTTACACGTATAAGTCTTTGGAGTAAAACAATTGTCGTACAAGAAACAACGGAAGAAAAAAAAAGTTGACATTACGCGAAGGGTTAACTTTTCTCCAAATTTTTTATTTTTTATTTTTCATCATCCAATTGTAATTCACAAACGAAGTCCTTGGGTCAATGATACGATCGATTTGGTTCAGCTAAGCAAGTAGAGAATAGAATAGAATAGATCTTACACAGTGCTAGAGAACCCACACACCACTCACTTTTTATACGCTGCATTCTCATTTAATATAAAAAGTCACACTACTAATTTATTGCTTAAAATTAGAGACATTATTATACCTGAAGTTAGACAATGCCCAAGAACATTACTCCGGCGTCTTCGTACCTTTCAAATGACTCTTCATCAGGAGAAAACAAATACGGAGAAGATATCATCATACCAGCAAAACCCAACGATTATGAAACGCTTTTCCGCAAGTTGGATATTGAAGAGAATGGTAAAATAACGTTTCGAGATTTCACTAAAGCAATGAGGAAACTAAAACATCCTATAAGTGAAAACCGTGAGCTTATGAAACAAGTGTTTAATTCATTTGATGAGGACCAGGACAAAATTATCGATTTCAACGACTTTAAGAAGTACTTGTCAACAACAGACGACCAAATACTAAAAGGTTTCAACAAGATTGACGAGGATAATGATGGGAAATTGAATAAAGCCGATTTTGTCAAGTATTTAAAACATCACTTGAATCTTAACGCAAGCAAGGTCAATGTCGACCTACTTTTCAAACGAATCGACTACAAAAACGATGGATATATAACTTATGACGAGTTTAGGGAGTTTTTGATCTTGATGCCTCGATTACACGGCTCTAGAATACGAACAGCGTACACATTTGTGGTGGAGAATTTTGGTGTCAGTTCCGATGGTGATGTCACGTTAATCAACCAATTTCTCAATGGATTTGGGTTTTTCCTTGCTGGTGGATTAGCAGGGGTAGTGTCGAGGACATGCACCGCTCCATTTGATAGAATCAAGGTGTTTTTAATTGCCAGGACTGACTTGACCTCAACTATCCTCCATTCAAAAGAAGAGATTGCGCGTCAAATTGCCTCGGGTGCTGAACAACATGTTATTGATCAACTACGCGCCAAATTAGCTCATGCCGAATTGGAAAAACATATTCAACTGACAAAAGCAACAACATTAAGGGAAAAAACCATTCGTTCTCCTATAGTGCAAGCAGCAAGAACATTGTGGTTGCAAGGCGGCATCAAGGCGTTCTATGTTGGAAATGGTTTAAATGTGTTGAAAGTTTTCCCAGAATCAGCGATGAAGTTTGGTTCCTTTGAAGCAGCCAAGAGGTTCTTTGCTCGTATTGAAGGAGTTGAAGATGTAACTCAAATCTCCAAAGTATCGACGTACTTGGCCGGTGGATTTGGTGGTGTTGTATCCCAGTTTGCAGTTTACCCAGTGGATACGCTTAAATTTAGATTACAATGCTCTAAATTGGACAGCTCACTACAAGGTAACGCATTGTTAGTTCAAACTGCCAAAGATTTATATCGCGAAGGTGGTATGCGTGTGTTTTACCGTGGTATTCTAGCGGGTGTAAGTGGTATATTTCCCTATGCTGCTCTTGATTTGGGTACATTTCAAACAATAAAGACATGGCTAATCAAACGAGAGGCAAGAAAGTTGGGTGTAAGTGAAGATGAGGTCAAGTTGCCAAATTATATGGTGTTATCACTAGGAGCCCTTTCCGGTTCCTTTGGTGCTACTGTTGTCTACCCCGTCAACTCGTTAAGAACTAGATTACAAGCACAAGGAACTTATGCACACCCATATACATATTCTGGATTCTTTGATGTGTTTCGAAAAACTATTGCCAGAGAAGGGTATCCCGGTTTATACAAAGGATTGGTTCCCAATTTGGCGAAGGTGGCACCGGCTGTTTCAATCTCATACTTTGTTTATGAGAATTTGAAAAACTTGTTTGGACTACATAATACAGTCTAGATATCTATCCTTTTCTTGCATTTTAAAAAAAACTACGCATATATCATTATTGAAATTGTCTCTATTACTGTAAAAGTTCATATAATTTTGTCAAAGAGTCGACATAGAATTGAGGAACCAACAGGTCATCACCGTGTTGGTTAGTACTGGCAATCAAATCTTTCAACTCGGGAACAGTTGTTACACCCGATAAAACGAGCAAAGTGCCATGACCATCACCCAAATTTGCATCATTGCCGAACTTAATATCAGAATACAATGTGTCACCAATCATAATTGATTTAGACTTGTCAAACCCAGTATCATAAAAAATGATATCGGCAAAAGTCTTGCTTGGCTTACCGACATCAATATAGCTTCGGCTAGAACAGTATGCCATATACTCTACCATACTCCCACCGGCAGGGAGAATCAAACCATCTGGTCCTGGATAGTTTCGATCTCCATTCGTTCCAACATAAGGTATGCTCTTGTTATTGTACATCAAATACTGTAAAGTAGTTGCAATCCGCATAAAGTTGAACTCAACAGTTGAACCAGCAATGACTGCTTTCACTTCGGGATCGAGCCTGAGCAATGGGTTTTTGGGACTCCATGATTGGTCTAGTAAAGGGTTGGACCCTCCCACAGCTATATATCCTTCATCACCCAACTCTTCTTCAATTCCCGAATCACCCAATACCCAAATTTTCGAACCTAGAGGAATGCCCATTTTTTTCAATTCCAACACTGCTGAATATCCTGTGGTATAGATACGTTCTTTCTTGATGCCGTGTATACCCAAGCTTTCAAATTTCTTGATATAAGCTTGGCGTGATTTTGACGAGTTGTTAGTGACAAATGCAAATTGTTTGTCATGTTGTTCTAACAATTGAAGAAACTGAGTCACTTTTGGAATAAGCGTCTCTGCTAACCAAATCACCCCATCACAATCGATCAAAAAATTGTCAAACTTATCAAGTAATAGCTCAGCATCCTTTTTGGTGGTAATTTTTGAAGGATTAGCTTTCTTGGTCATAGTAAAGATGGTTGAAGAAAGGATAGACCAAAGAAATAGTTGTAATTTTTAATAGGGACACATTGTGATATATAGAATCGGTATTTCTTTATGATGGCTTTGTATCGGTGATGAATTTCATTTTCATCGGAGTTACCAAAAACGTTCAAATTCTCTGTCTTTTTATTCCCGTGTGGATCACGAAAACTATGAAGGTTGCTCCAGATGAAATCGGTTCATATCTAATGCCAGCAAAACATCACCCGAAACCTATTTTAATACACCAGAAACCTCACAAGTGACATCTCTTGTAATCTCACAGATTAGGCACTATTGTCAGTGCTTTCAATAGTAAAGTTTAAAACCCCTAGATCTGCTTCACTTAACACCTGTATATTCTCCACGCGATTATGTTGTTTGCTCTCATTTAGTCTCACCCAGTTGGAACCAGCATAAATCTCCTCAAGCAAACCCACAGTAATTTTAAAAAAAATTTGTTCCCCTTGGCTTTCTGAGATTGTGATTTTACGCAAGTGTTGTATATGTTGAAATAGTGTTGTTTGAAATTGAGTATATATTTCAGTCCATGTTGTATTTGGCAAACTCAAAATCGAAGATGTATCATGGTCATCATTGATCTTTAATTCAGCAATTGTCTCGCTCAAGGTCAAGATGAATTGATGAAACTTGATTGAGTAGCTTCTCACTACCGTGTCGTCCCGTGTATTGTATACTAAGCATGTAATTTTATCTAGCCCATTTGATTGTTTCTTATTAATAATTAGGCTGTTGATGATGTTTAAGAACAAGTCATCGATGTACTTTTCTAGATGTGGATGTCTATTCATCCATACAATGACATCAAATGCTTTATATTCATCAAACACTAATGGATCGTAAACTTTGTTATAGTAAAGTATTTGATTCAACCACACTGAAAGAAACTCTTTAAACACCAATAAAAGGTTGTTTATAGTTAGGGGGATGTTGGGTGTTTCTCTGGCAAGCAAATTCTTCAATTTCATGCTTGCACCTATCTATTTCAGGGCTATGAACTGATGTCAGTAGTCTCATTTCTCCCCCACATCTTCATATATTTTGCGCGTCGCGCCATCTTCAATTCTTATTTTTGAAAATAGACGCGCTCAAGGAAATACAAACTTTACCATCAACAATTGTTTAGACTCAATCTGTATCTATGTCGCTGATTCAAAGTATAAATGTGGCCGATATCTCCAAAATTACTTCAGGACAGGTCATCATTGACCTTAGATCAATTATCAAGGAACTAATAGAAAACTCTATCGATGCTTCAGCAACAAGAATTGTAATCAACTTCAACAATTACGGAATTGAAGCAATAACTGTTCAAGATAATGGAAAGGGGATACTGAAAGAGGATTTTGGAACCGTGTGTCTCCGGAGCCATACCTCCAAAATAAACGATCTTGACGATTTGTCCAAGTTGGGAACATTGGGATTTCGAGGTGAGGCATTAAATTCGATTTGTGCCTTGTCTACAAAAGTGACAATCACTACTCTGACTTTGGATACTTATCCGAGAAACTACACTTTAAAGTACGACCAACGTGGACATTTGAAAGAAGAAACGACCAAATTAGGTGGTATGAGCAATAAATCAGGTACTACAATTATAATTGAGCACTTGTTCAAGAATTTATCCGTGCGCTGGAAGAATTTCATCAAAAATTCCAAAAGAGAGTTCCATAAGGCGGTCAACTTTATTATAAATTATTTGCTAATATATCCTGAAATCAAATTTGAAGTGACAAATACTAATTCCAATGGCAAGAAACAATTGGTTTTGTCATCAAAGGGGGGAGATAATAATACAACTGTGGAGAATTTGATAACAATATACGGAAATAATGGAAATACCAACCTCCTCAATGTTGATATTGAGATTGATCCCAATACAAAATTGAGTGGTCATATTTCATCATACTCCTTTGGATTAGGACGATCAACCCCCGATAGACAATTTTTGTTTGTCAATAAACGACCTATTGTGTTTAGAAAGTTGACGATGTTGATAAACGAGGTTTACAAGTCGTTTAACCATGTACAGTATCCGATATATGTATTGAATCTTGAAATTGACCCCGAACTAATTGATGTTAATGTCTTACCCGACAAAACGAATGTTTTGCTTCATAACGAGTCCCGGATCTTAGAAGCTATACGTGAACGTCTTGTCGAATTTTATACAATGCAAGATAGAGTTATTATTCCAAAGAGTTCAAGGGAGCAAATACCATTTAATAAGCATAGTACAACTATTGTGGGAGAGACACCCAATTCGAGTCGAGAGAAAACCAAAGCTCGTACAATCGATATTAAACAGTTTATAAAGAAGGAAGAAGGTGAAACTATAGACAGTATAGACACCGAGAATCCAGCTTCAATGGATCAGAGTATGGGTGGCGGTGATGGTGATGTCAAAGAACATTTGATGCAGAGAGAGGAATTTGAAGTTGGCCAAACAGACGAATCAAAGGCAAAAACAGAGTCACTATTCTGTCAAGAATCAGGAGATGAAGATCTGGATAAAGTTGAAGAAACACGCCCGTCGTCGTCTCAAATACATAGGAGAAGCAGTATCGAAGTTTTTGATCCAATTGAAGAACGCAGCTTAGGTCCTAGTCAAGCTTCTTTAAAACCGGAGCTACAGGAGAATAACGTTGATGATGAACGCGAAGAGGTGACAGTTGATACTGACAATGAGGAGGAAGAGGAAGAAGAGGAAGAAGAGGAAGAAGAGGAGGAAGAGGAAGAAGAGGAAGAAGAGGAAGAAGAGGAAGAAGAGGAAGAAAAAGAGGAGGCTAAACTCGCATATGAAACCTCTCAGAACAAAGTTGCTGCTTCAACTGAATTGACTAACACTACCACGCCTCCAGTAGAGACTACAACATGCAAGGGACTAAGCACAATAGAAAGCAAACCTAGCGACTTGGTCCACACCTCACAGGCATTGTCAAATTTTTCCTACAATGAACCTGAAACTCGAACTGAGGTCAGTGAATTGCAAGATAACCACGGGGTAAACTTCTACCCCATGCAGGCAAACCAAAGTGATGAAAACTTGTATATTAAAATAGGTGATGAGGAGTTTGAGGAAAGACCAGCAAAGAGGCACAAGTCATCAAATTTGTACGCAAAGAGGAGAAAACAGTCGTCCCAAGAATTACTATCAAAGATAGCCACTTTAAGAAATTTTGACACTGGCGAAGATGTAAAGGATAGCCAGACTATAAAAGTCAACCAGACATTGGAAGATGAAGGAATCTATCACATTTCCAAATCGGATTTTCTTAAAATGAAGTTGGTGGGACAGTTCAACTTGGGGTTTATTTTGGTTCATCATGGAGCTAATTTATTCATAATAGATCAACACGCCTCTGATGAGAAATACAACTTTGAAAAATTGATTGAGAATTATAGCATTCAAAATCAATCATTGATAAGACCACAAGTACTTGAATTGAATATTATTGACGAAATGTTGGTTATTGATCATGAGGGAGTATTTAGAAACAATGGTTTCAAATTCACTATTGACAATGAAAGCAAACTCGGATCAAGGATTGTTCTTACTTCATTACCGGTGTACAAAAACATCATGTTTGATACTAATGATTTTATGGAACTCATTAATTTGATCAATGAACAACCAAGTAATAAGCATATCAAATGCTCCAAAATTAGGAAAATCCTTGCGATGAAGGCGTGTCGAAGTAGTATAATGATTGGATCATCGTTATCACGAGGCAAGATGACGCAAGTGGTCCAGAATCTAAGTCGGCTTGATAAGCCCTGGAATTGTCCACATGGAAGACCCACAATGAGACACTTAAGTGAATTAGATAATTGGAAAAGTAAGTACTTTGATTACAGTTTGTGAGTAGACGATGACAAATCGAAAATGGTTAATTATGTGTAGACTGCTTTACTTTTTGCAACCGGCTATTATAAATCATAGAAAGTATAATTGACTCTTCCAAATCCTTTCATTTATAAGATGATTTCTATGCTACGTGAAAGATAGCTTGATGATTATGATCAGGTCTCTTCTATTGAAATTGAAAGCAACAGCCGCACGAAAAAGCAAAAAAATAAAAAATTGCAAATTTCTTTTTTTTTGTTCCCAAAAGGAAAAAGCATCTCAAAGTTGATCTACAATCATTTGGTCGCTTTATATATGTTTATATTTGGAAGAAGCAACCAGAGATTGCCGATTCGTTTTATATCCATTAGATCAAAAATTATTCAAAGAAATCTAGCATTATTCCTGCATTCAGAACAACCAACAAATCTTGAAATGACTGTTCCAGCAACAACAACCACCACCACTACGTCATCTTCGCAACAATCTAAACCAGGCAAACTTCCAGGAAGAGAGTTGTATAACACCATAGGCAAACCTAAAACTATTGTAGCGCCAATGGTGGACCAATCAGAACTAGCTTGGAGAATACTATCACGCAAGTACGGAGCTGATTTATGTTATACACCCATGTTTCATGCTCGATTATTTGTAACTAGCGACAAGTATCGTCAAAGCATGTTTAATGATCAAGATGGGGATCCCAAGTACGATCGTCCTTTAGTTGTTCAGTTTTGTGCTAATGACCCTGAAATTTTGTTACAAGCCGCCAAACTCGTCGAAAACCAATGCGATGCCGTTGATTTGAATTTAGGATGTCCACAAGGTATTGCCAAAAAAGGTAAATATGGGTCATTTTTAATGGATGATTGGGGGTTAGTGCACAGTTTGATTAAAAAGCTCCATGACAATTTATCTATCCCGGTTACTGCCAAGATCAGAGTATATGATGATTATGATAAATCGCTACAATATGCCCAAATGGTCTTGGATGCAGGGGCTCAATTTCTCACCGTGCACGGAAGAACAAGAGAAATGAAGGGACAAAATACAGGACTAGCCAATTGGAAAATTTTAAAACACCTTCGTGATAAGTTACCACAAGATCAAGTATTTTTCGCCAATGGAAATATCTTGTATTCTTCTGATTTACAACGGTGTCAGGATGAAACGAATTGTGACGCAGTAATGTCAGCCGAAGGGAACTTGTACAACCCAGGTGTATTTTGTACCAAGACAGATGATATAGATATGCAATTTCCTCGAGTCGATAAAATCTTGCGTCAGTATTTTGAAATTGTCAAATCGGTTGATCCTCACCCTGCATCGCGACATTCAATGAAGTCCCATTTTTTCAAGTTGATGCACGAGTTTTTAAATGTGAGGACGGAATTACGACCCATGATTGGCAAAACTAGTGTACATTCCTCATTAGATGAATGGGAAAAGATTGTTGAAGAGGTTGAGAGAATAGTTAAAGAGGAGATTCGTACATTGCCAAATTTTAATGATTTGGATGTAGTTATTGATGGTGAATTACAAATTTGGGGTGGCTTATACAAGACTGTGCCTTATTGGCGATGCCAGCCATATTTCAGAAAAGTTGATGGTGAAAGACAAAATACTAGGTTGTTGAAAGTTGCAGGTGAAAATGATTTGATGGTTACTTCAAATGAGGCTAAGGAGAAGTTGCTTAAGCGTGAATTAGAAGGAGAAGGAGAAGGAGATGAGGGTGGTAGTGTTAAGAAGAAACAAGCTACGTAAAATCGAACTATTAAAGTTTTGAAAGAGATGTAATCACAAAGAGGTAATTGATGCCACCACATCAAACAAGATTGTAGTTATGACAATTCCCTCAAGCCTCTTCTGACACTCAATTCGAAGATGCATTAGAGAAAAGCAATTCACAAAATAAGCATCGGCAAAATTTAATTAAATTTCCCTAAATAGCCTATAAATCAATCAAATTCTTTACTTAAAGTATCTCCTTCCCACCAACGGAATCCTAATCCATAACCCCAAGGGTCATTAGTGTATCTGGTTGGATCAACCACACCAATTTGATACAACTCGTCCAACTCTTCTTTACTCAAGTCAGGCAAATTGACAATTGATTTAATTCTGTCCAAGTTGGATGACCTGGGAATGGCAATTCTTCCATTCAAAATTTGGTAAGCGTCAACAATCTCATTGGTACTAACATCGTATTTCTTGGCCAATCCTTGAACCAAGGGTAATTTCAAAACTGGAGCCCCTGTACCACCAACTGGCGAGTAAGCTTCGATGATGATTTTGTGCTCATTACAGAAATCAACCAAATTCTGTTGTGGCAATTGTGGATGATATTCAATTTGGTTGACCACGGGAACATGTTTCACATGAGGCAACAATTGACGTATTTTGGGTAATGAATAGTTGGAAACACCAATTGATCTAGTCTTTTTGGTATTATCCAATATCTTTTCTAGACTTTGATAAACTTCAATGAATTTGGTACCGGTTACTGGATCATCGTCATAAATCAAGTTTCCCTTGTCATCTTTTGGCGCAGTTGGCTCACCGTTTTCATCACCATGCAATTCAACTGGCCAATGCTGCAAGAACAAGTCAACATAGTCCAATCCGAGTGTCTTTAATGAAATGTCCAACGATTTTTCAGGACTGTGCCAGAATGATGGCCACACTTTGGTGGTGATGAATACATCCTCTCTTTTGACAATACCCTCATCAAACACTTCTTTCAAAGCTTGACCAACATACTTCTCAGTACCGTAGTACCAAGCAGTATCAATTAGACGGTAACCAGCTTTGATGGCTGTTACCACCTGATCCTTTACCTCGCTTGGATCATCAGGTGGAACTGTACCCAAACCAAGGGCTGGGACTTTGATTCCGTTATTTAACGTGAAATACACGTCAGTAGCCTTTTTAATTGGAGTAGTCATGGAAAATTGAGGTTTTGTTGTAGTGTGCTAAGAAGAAGGAAAGTAAAGAATTGGAGGATTGAACAAGTATTTATAAACTTTTTGCTTTGTAACTGTAACTGTAACTGTAAATGTAATTGTAATTGTAATTGTAAGCGTGAGTATGAGTGTATGATGTAATTGAAATCTTTGTACTAAGATTGTAGTGCTGCTAGAGTTTGCTACTTACCGCCTTTTTTTTGGTTTAAAATTGCTCTGGTGTCTGTATTCTTTCAAAGCGTATATACAATATGGTTCTTATACGGCAATCCCCTGTCCCCCGGAGTTTAAATCCGCATACGTTTTATTACACAAAACACAGGAAATGTAAAAGTGTGAGGAGCAATTATAAATTCTGAGACAATCATAGGTGCTACCATGCGAGTTACAGCCACAGCAGGCAACAAGCAACACAGGATTTCCATTGGCTTTCAGCAGGTATAATTTTGTTTCAGTCTTTACTTACAATAAAGCAATTTCTCTGGTTGCTAAAATTATGACTGACTTGCAGACGGCTTGCACAAAAAACACTAAAAATGGGTAAAGACCCCCGATTAACAAAACAAGGGTCTTTTATGAAACGTTAGAACATTACATTATAAACCTTGCATCTAATAAGCACAAGCTGCATGTTTCTATTGGCGTAATTGTTTTACACTAGATGTCTTTTGGTTCTAATCAAAGATCAGATGGTAGTGAAAGGGAGATTTCGCAACAAGGTATGATATGTGAACAGTGTAGATCCATCAATGTAACTTCTTCAAAGCAGTCATGGACCCAAAAATAAACTTCTCAATATGCCACTCCAATGTTTTGCTGAAATTGCGTAGTTACACATATATTAACCAGTTCATTCTATGCACTTATGTAAGCTCGATATTACCAACCACATCCTCGTCATTAGCATCGTCAGACTCGTCCTCTTCTATGTCAGCTTTGTTGATAGCTATTAAACGAATAAAAGCTACTCTTTTTCTTTTCTTATTGTATATGAACCAGAAATAACTCCACATTGGCTGATAAGGGTACGAAATATCTTCAAAGATCGACTCGTCAGCAGGCTCAAACAGGTAAATACTGCAAGTTTCCATAGGACCTTTAGTATTTGGGGGTGAGCCATGCCTGCTGAGATTCATGCTATTTTTCCTACTCGTACTCGTTTCATGGTGGTCATTTCCGTCTGGATCTTGAGCTGCCAAGTATGGAGAAGAATTTTTTGAGGGTAAAACTTCCATATACGAGTCAAGGATGTCCCACATCCAGTGTAGAACGTCACTCTTCTTGCCCAATGATAATAACAAATTATCAAACTTGGTTAATAAATCCGAAGTGGGAACCTTGATAAAATCATGAGCAGGTTGAAGATTACTAAAGTCTTGATCGGGGAATGTATGATTCAAAATACCTATAAGGTAAGCAAATGTGCGTCTTGTTGTAGTATTCTTCAACGGACCAAATGGCGAGTCGTCAATTGCATGCTCCTCTTGGTCTGCTTCAGCGGTAAAACTATCATCAGCTGCATTTAGTGATTTTGAAAGTAATGAGGAAGTGCCGTCTGTTTGTACAGCATTCTTCGTATCAGGAACCGGTGACTTGTGAAATTGAATTCTCCCCAGATTTGAACTTGACCTTCGTTGACGATGTTGCTCTTGTTGTTGTTGTTGTTGTTGTTCTTGTATTCGAACATCTTGAGGACTTCCGCTTGTACCAAACAAGGAAGTGATCGAACTCTGTCGGTCTCTTTCCAATGAGCGAGATAGTATATTATCTTCAATAATTTGGTCTAAATGTTTATCAATGGTCTTGAATAATTTCCGGTCAGAGGCAATTGGTTTCGTCGTGAATAATTCGCAACCTCCCCTGATTTCCAACGCGTTGTCAGACAGTGTGAAATTTAATTCCTGATTGACTAGTTCTAAGTCAATTTCGTCAATGTACTAAGGTTTAGTTAGTATGTTGAATCTTGTTGCAAAGTCTCTCTCTCTCTCCGCTTGTGTGCGGGTCGGTTGACCCCCCCCTATACCAATCGAGGAAAAGATTCACTCGGGATATGAATTGTGGTTGGAGGCTAGATATACATACCTTCATTGTATTCCTGTTGTAGTACTTGACTTGGTACAAATTAGTGAAAATCCTTCACGGCAGAATGGAAAGTAAATTGTAACGAATAGTGGTGACCTTTCTTTGTTGATAAATCTAATTTCCAGTTTTTGTTTATGAGCTCTGTTTACGCACGACCACGTTCTGTTTCTTATTTTTTTACTTGCAAAGACTCGTCCTATTTTGTGTCACCGGTCACGCGTAGATTTCCCAATAGGGTGTTATAATTCGGGACTGTAATAATTGCATAAATACTTGTATTAATACAGATAGATACTGACACAGAGAAATAACACTACAATTAAACTTGATCTAACCCCTGTTTATCAATTGTGAAGGCATAGTTTTTGAATCTATCATTGCTTGAATTATGTGAACACAGAACAACCTTGATGAATCGTTCAACTTGCCAGCCTTTGATCAACAGAGAGGTGCTTGACTGTGGATCTGCACTAGTGGATGTTGGAGAAGATGCAGATGCAGGTTGCTGTGACTGATTCTCCTTACGCCCGTTTGCTCCCAAGGTGAATCCTTCACAAAGTTGAGCATAGGATAGTCCAGTTTCCAAATCTACGCCTCCATTAGCTTCACTTTCTCTAATCAACTCTTCCCTTGTCTTTAATTGGGGCTTGTACGTTTTCATCAACATGATTCTATTTTGTATTCGGGTTGCCCATGGATACCCCAACGTAGGTACTATTCTTTTTGTGTTTTTATTCCTCAACTCATGCGCTTTCATAATTAGATCTGCTTGTGTTTCACGTATGTCAGCTATCCTTGTCTTGTTCATCCGCGGATCCTCTTCAACAGGGACAGATCTAGTTCCATTTTCATCTGTTACTTTTTTTCGTTTATTTGAGGAGGAGGAGTTTGAATCAAACGATTTCTGTAATTCCAAATCTAACAACTCTAAATCTCGTTCGTTTAATTGTACGTGTGACGGGGGTAGATATTTGAATATTGTTTTTGGGTCCCATCCTGATGCTATAGGGATTTGGAAATCTAAATTCAAGGGATATGATAAATCATCATCGTCAACAACAGACGTTTTTGAATTGGCAAAATCCGCAGTATGATCGCTAACTTGGTTTACCACCACGACAGCGATCTTGAACTGCCTCGCCAATCTGGTTAAATGGCGGTACATTAGACTTAGATAATGTAGCTTAGTTGATCGCGTTGCATACTTGGCTGTCTTGTTGCCCACTAACTTCAGATAACTGTTCTTTAGTCGTTTAAGCTCTTGCGAGCCTGGGTCGTCGTCAAGTTGCAGCTCCTGCTCTTCTATCTTATCCTTCATAAAACTGACATTGGACATTGCATCTTCGCGTCGAAAATGATGGGCTATTGAATCGATGACAAGTAGTTTTGTATTTGGTTTGTCCTGCTGTAACTTTGTCGGCAATTGGGTAAATAAAATGTGGTCCTGGTTTTCCAAGTCAGGGCAATATATGTAGGATATTCGCTCCAACTTTGCATCCACTGTCCGATAACCCAACCCTTCATCGAGCATATTCTGTAACCTTTTTGACTCCATAAAAGTTTCAGTGGCAATATGAATAGGTTTACTGTCAGGGTACTGCTCAATACAACGGTGAACCAATTGGTAAAGAAACTGTGATTTTCCGCAACCACTAGCACCAAACACTTCCGTCACTTCTCCCACGGGAATTCCGCCACCACCCAATTCTTGATCGATCGATGGCAACCCAGTACTGATTGTTTCCTCCTCCTCATCAAATAAATTGTTTACCACGCTCGGCGCTACTGACAAGTCGGCTTGTAGTGCTTTAAAGTACTGGCTGATTTCGCCTAGTGGTCGGTCGATTAGTTTGGCTAGTTCTGCATGATCATCTGTTGATTCATAACAGTGGATTAGATCGACGATGGTTTTTCCAGAACTGTTCAACAAACCTACCAAATAAGGGAATTTATGAGAGCTTTGAAACTCATCTGGCCCCAATTGTTTAAAATCATCCATATAAACATGTAGGTGCTTAATGGCTGGTGAAAAAGGTGTTTTGTTGATGGTTTTATTAGTCAAGGTTTATTTTTGTGTATGATGCGTCGATACAACAAAATACACCAACTATTTTACTGTATACACAATCTAAGCAACGACTATCTCATTACTACACTCTATCTAAGTACAATACCCTGATGCTTTGGGAATCATAAAATCTCTTGATTTGGAAAACCAAACGACAAAATTAGGAATGGAAAATCCATACACAACACCGACCCCTCCGTTTCTACCAATAGGGACCAATATTGTAGGCCTACTAGGTTTAACGTAGGGTGTCAACTTGACCTTTGTATCACCAAATACTTCATAAGCTATCGCTTTGGAAAATGTCGGGTTTTGATTATATACCAAATCGACTAGCGACTGTTGTCCCAAAGCAAGAATATCTCCAAGGCATATAACATCATGGAAATCGCGTAAACGAAAATAATCATCAGTAATGACGTATCTGCGCTTGTCTAATACTTCATTTGGCAAATACTCGGTATTTGGTATTAACTTCTGAGCCTCAAGAATCAAGTCAAAATCCCGAGTCGTTCCATCCTCTAGAACAATTGTAGATTCGCCTTGCTTTTTGACAAGCTGGTTATTGACAATTTCAACGCCCAATTGCTTTAGCTTATCAGTAACCGAGGACACATGCCCAGGCAATGGAATAGATAAAGGGCCCAGTGAACCAGTATACAATACAATCTTCTTTCGCCCCTTGAATTCGTGTCCCAATTCACCGGCTGTTTCCACACCAGTAGTTCCGCCTCCAATAATAGCAATGCTTCTCGCTTTCTGGATCCTGTCGCTAGTTTGTCTAATTGACTCCAATGTAAAATCAACATTCTCGACTGAGTCGAGCTTCCAAATAGGTGAAACAGATCTTGCTCCAGAAGCAAGAATTAAGTTATCATAGCTCAATTTGGATCCATCTGCGATTGTGACAACCTTTCCATTAAATTCAACATGTTTTACACTCGATTTGACATGAGTTGCCTTGTGAAGAGTGCCTTTGGTCAATTTATCGAGCGATTCATCAAGGGGGAAAACCGTCTTTTCAATAGTCACCTCATTTTCAACTAATAAACGGGGAACAGCAACATTGAAAAATGCTTTGTCATTGGGTGAAATTAAGGTGATGTCCAATTTCACTTCTTTGGTGGCTACTAATGTTTTCAATGCCGCTATAGCAGCAAATGAGCCACCCACAATGATAACCAGTTTGGTAGAAGCCATTCTATCTTTTTACACACTCTCTCTGTTTTATGAATAAGTTAACCAGCTTGTAGTGAAGCTAAGGGAAAGTAACTATTTGGGTGGTTGTTACACCGGAGGGTCGCTAAAACTAAACATTTCAGTAATATGACTCTATGGAATTAGTAATGCTAAGAATATTTTTGTTGAGGGAATGCTAGTTCGGAACGGAAATATGCACCGAAAGAGAAATACATCCGGAAAATTGACTACACAAAAGTTCAGTCTCCGAAGCACATTAAGTGTACAGTGTTTTCAGGATGAATATTGCACTTGTGTCTTTCAAAAAGTCGCACATTACATTGTGAATAAATTCACACTTTGTCTTACTCTAAGTTCGTATCCTCTCTGTGTTAAAAGTCGTAGACAGACACTTTTGATATCGCATTAGAGGGCGAAAATATGTCGCAAGTATAATCATCCGTTATTCGTAGCTAAGTATGCAAGAGTGCGATATTTACGACATCTGAATGCGATATTTTTACAGGGCCATATACGAATTTACAGTGTTTTCATTTTTTATTCATACTAGTGCGACATAATTGTTCATACTAAAGCGACATTTATTTTTCATACTAAAATGACATAATTTTTCAAACAGTGCGACATAAAATTTCAAACTACAACTTTACCTAAAAGAATTTCCACACCTCTGACCTAGTTGAACCTGATTCTGAAGAATCGAGGCAACAAGATTAAAAGTATGAAATAATATCGAATCATTTTTTTTTTGTTTGAGCTTAGTCCTTTTCTACTGTCCTCTCTTGAGTGCTTTTGCGGTCATTTTCTCAAGCTAAAAGCTGTCCCCTTCCTATTCACCAGAGTCCATGCAGTTTAGAAAGATCTCTTCTCTAAACAGTATGGTATGAAGCTACTGGCATGTTTACAGAAACCTTGATAGCTTTCTAAGGTTATCTTTGCTGTTGCTTCTCTTACCCTTGGAGTTAATTGTTCTTTTCTAGATAAGTTTGACCGCTTAACTTTAGCCTTACATACTGACCAGAACTCTTCAATTGCATTTAGAGCCGGTGAATAAGCGGGCAAAAATACTAGCTCCATTCCACTCAGTGCCACCAATAACTCGAGGTCACGACGTTTATGGATGGCTGCGTTGTCAAGTATCAGATACTTAATTTCCTCAAGTGCCTGGCTTGCCTCAATTTCTCTAAGCACAGACTTGACAAATGCACAGAAATGATTGGCCGTGGTGCCAATTCTTGTCTTCTTTTCCGAGACTGTGGTGTAGGAACCGAGTTTTCTTTTCTTGTTGGGGGCAGTTTCGGCTGGAAGTCGAACCTTTAAGTCAACGCATCCTTTGGAAGAGATGGCTCTTAAGAATGATACATTGAGACCTCTGGTGACTGGAACTTTAAGCACAGCTTTTTCACCTACTTTCGACCATCCATATTCTCTTCTCATACTAATGTTGAAACCAGCCTCATCAATGAAAATACAGTTCTTTTCAAAGTCAATTTTGTCTTTCTGCTCGGGTGCCCATTGGAATCTCTCCTGTTTTAATTCTGGCAGATCCCGTCTCATGGCCCATTTGGAAAGTCTCTTGAGACTAAACTTGCATACCTTGGTGAGAAAGTTATAAATAGTAGAAATACTTGCCTTCACACCTTCAAATGTACTCCTTAGTTTTTCCAACAAGAAGTCCACAGTAACAGTGGGGTCAGAAAGAACCAAATCCTTCAAAAAGAGTTTGTGCTCTTGTGTGAGAAGAGGTTTACGACCACGCTTTTTTGGCTCTTTATAAATACCATTAATTTCGTTAGCAATAAGGCGATTCCAATTTCTTCTCCAAGTATAAGCTGTTTTTAAGCCGATATCTTTTGCTTGGGCCGCCTTGTAAGCAGATTACCCTTGTTCGATAACTAGTTGCCAGAATCTTTGCTTCTGAGCTCCCGAGTAATATCTGTATG